AAAAAAATGTTGAAAAAAATTGATCTGGACAAATTTATCTAAAAAAAGTCATGGGCAAAGCTGAAAGTCGGCTATGGGCGAAAAGAATCAAAAAAAAAATTGATTGGAAATAAGCTCATTTGAAGAAACAAAAACCCGTGGTTTGTTCCTAATGAGCCGTTCGCAGATTCCTATACGAAAAACGAAGAACCAACATGCATCTCCGGTTGAAAGAAGCCTCTAATTTTTGCTTAAATATTATCGAGAACTATTTTCCTTAGCTTTTTGGAAATTGACATTAAAAAAATTCCGCTCAATTTTTGAACTCGAGAGAAGTCCCTCCTAATGAGCCGTTCGCAGTTTTTCATGCAATGGAACAAAATGCATAGTCTTTTTCTCTCTAAAAATAGGTTTTTCAATGCTAAACATCATACTGTAAAAAAACAGGTTCAGAGATGCAGGGAAAAATTTGATTCAAAAAGAAACGAGCGAAAAATAAGACCCGAATTTTTTTTAAAAGAATCTAGCTATATTTTTTTAAGGATATGGGTGCGGAAAATCATTTGGGTGCGTGTGTATACGTGGGTGTGGGAAATCGTATTTGGGTGTGGAAAATTGGGAGCGAAAAATCATGGGTGCGGCTTGGGTGCGGCTAAATCATGGGTGCGGAAAATTGTCGGCCCGTCATTTTGATTCAAATCATTTTTAATTTCCATACACGTTCAACGAACGGATCGTATGGAAGACATTCACGCTGAACTCTACTTGTTTTGCCGTGTTCAAAGTAATTTCGCGAAATGTGAAATAGCCGTCAAAGAAAGAAAAACATAACTAAATTTTGGAGAGTCAGAGATCATTTTGCATTTCGCGAAGTTACTTTCAATACGGCATTTGTATTATTTTTTTTTTCGAAGAAGCTTATACGAAACAATCAGGATATGGAAAAATTCTGTTAATGCTTTGAATTTTCCTGAAGTTCCGTGGGCGTTTTTTTACTTGAATAAAAGAAAGAAAAAAATTAGAAATCATTTTTTTCAAAATTGGAAATTTATATAACACGCGCTCTCGGAGGTATGTGAGGAACCATTGGCACCACAAATTCCTGTTTTTTTTTTTGAGATCCTAAATCACAACAACTACACAAGTCTCTACAATTTTTAGACAAGGTTTTTACAGGCTCCGCCCCTTTTGAGAATTACTGTAGTCAAAATACGATGCAATAATGCTTTAATTTCTAGCGTTTTTTACAGAAGCAAAGTGTTTGAAGGAAAAACTGAAAGAAAAACATTTCCGTAGGTCAATGAGTCACAAAACTCAAAATGGGGAAAACCCTTTATGAAAACCCTAGAGAAATGACTTCTCCCTCTTGTATGGGACAATTCAATGTGTGAGTCCTCGGCTTGGCCATGCCGAGACTCCATCAGTAGTTTCGATGTGGTTCGAATATAGACTGATTATATTAGAACAAATTCATTAGTCCATTAGAAAATATTATATAATCAAAATAGGAATCGAGGGATTGACCTCAGGCCGGGAGGATTTCGACCCAGCTGAAGATCGTCCCTGCCTTTTTGTAGGTAGGAGGCGGTCTTCCCCTGCGTCTCTGGCATCTGCCAGGGGCATTAGTTCACAAATGATACGTGTATAGATTCAAGACAAAAATTTTGCCTCAAATAATTTCGAGTTCGATAGTTCAAACTGGGGAAAAAACTGAAAAAACTTAGAAATATCAGAAAAATTTGTAAAATTCGTATAATTCACGCTTGGAAGTCGGAACTTTCAGACCTTCCTGTGATATTTATTGGCTTCAAGCCAGATCCAAATTTTTGATAGTTATTCCAATGCTCAAAAAAAATTGAGTTTTTGGCAACATGTTAGGAAAAAGTTCAGGAAGTCCGCAAAATCAATTTTTCAGGCCTTAGAATTGTTTCAGTCATTGAAAAACTGGTATGAACAAGGTTGAAATTTTCTCATTTGAATGAAGAATAATGGGATTTTTGTCTTCTTCAATGTTTTCAACTGTAGAAACTCTGATACCTATATAAAAAAACTTTAATTTTTTTATAATAAGTCGATTTTTAAAAAAATTGTGCCACGGTTTATTGTCCTATCGATATTCATAGTATTGAAATGCTGGAAATTGTAAAAAAAAAAGGGCGGGACTTCTCTGCGCCCTCCTCATCTCTCGGCGACCCTCTCTTGTTTACGTGCTATTTCCATGTGTCTCTGACCTCACTGGTGAGGGAACAGAGAGACGCAGACACTCGAAAACTATCGAGTCCGGCGGGCGGACTATAAGACATAATCGTAGAAGACGTTTTGAAAAAACTCAAAAAGTTTTTTGGAGTCATTTATTTTAAAAAATATGTAGAAGAAAAAGACGTTCTCCAGGGGCCGCTCGATCCACCGAAACTCAGCGCTTTGTAGGTTTTCTCCGCTGTTTCTTAAGCTTGCGATCCATACGCAAGAAGAGGCCGACAGTCAGGAAAACCCACAATATGATAGCAACGAGGTTCACGACAGCACCGTACACTAAAATAGGATTTTGAAAAAATGCAGCAAACTTTTTTGAAGAAGCTCTCAAAAACTAAAATCAATTGTGAATTGTGGGGTCTATCAAGTTATAAAAAATTATCCTTCAAGCTTGGCAGACTACTTTTCATTATAATTTTTTTACAGTGTTGTTTTAACTTTAATACAAACCTTTAATAAAGTTTTAATTCAGACTTTTTTCATACAAACAAAAATTTTTTTTTTTTCATTTTTTCCGAGCGTTTTTCTTTCAATCATCGTAATTTTATCAATTTTCATAAATACCTGAGTAGACACTAAGAAAACCTTCGCAATCTAATCTAGAGGTGAAATTTTTGAGAAACTCCACAAAACTGGTTCAACACCAAGAATATCAATATTTCTAATGGACGATGATTCAAGTGAAAAGCGTATTTTTCTTCTTTTGAACATAGCCAATACGAATTGAGAAGTTGTGGGAAAAGGCTTTCTAGAGTGAATCGTCGAAAAAAAAATTGTTTTTAAGCAGTTTGATGAACTTTATCCCATTCAACTGAATTTTTAGATATATAAATATCAGAAAACTGTAAAAAAGAGAGTGAAAAAAAAACAAAAATGTCTAAATTTCCGCGTCTATACCTAAAGTCTTCCTTACCAATCTGCTCTATAGCCTTTAATAATAAATCATAACTAAAACCTTTTTCCAAGCATACAACACAAGACTGAAAAGAACCGCTTACTCAAGTAATCGTATTTTTTAGAGTTTGACATGGGACATGTCTCCCCTTGGGGCGCCGGAGCGGAAGTCGTCCCTTTGTTGAGAGTGCGCGTACTACCTGGAGGTTTCGTCGCCAACAGAGTAGCACAAGGCTCCAATACCTTCTGAAAAAACAAGTTCAAGCAAGATGAAGAACTCCTCAAACCTTCTCCAGGTCTTTCAAGACCTTCCACGGCTTCGGATGCATATAGTCTATATCGAAGATGGTTCCTTTTATACAGTACGACTCCAACGGACTGATATTGATGGACTTCAACACTTTAAACGAATCTTCGGTGACATTAGTACGTCTGATACGAATCAGAGCCTCTGTAATCCTCGTGAGAAAACTTTTTCTTGAGCTATATGAAAAAAAGAACTGTTCGCGAAAGTTACTTTTAAAAAAGCATATAACATGAAAAAAAAAAATCAAATTGTATTTTAAGAAATTATAACTTATATAAATTAAAAGTTTTCCGATCAGTTATAAATTAGTGGTCGTCAAAACGTTTTTGCGCTTATTCAAGCCTTTTTTAGTATTACAACGGATCATAGAAAGGTGGTTACTTTTTTTCTATTGGGTAAATTTAATCATTCAAAAATAACGAATTCAAGATGAAAAAAAGAACCTGGAAATTCTTGAGAATCTGTTGCGTTGAACGAAATTTCTTCTAACTGCCCAAAATGTATAACGTCCTTATTGTCTTCCAGTTCAATTCTAGAGGAAGTAAGCAATGTTAATGCGAGAGCAGCTCCCTTATTGAGAGAGTCGCCAAGGAGATTTTTTAAGACGATCTCATCTCTCAAGCAATTGCAAAGCTGTTCATACCCACAAGTTTCGTCGTCGACAATGCCAAAAACCGGCTTAGTACAAAACACTGAAAAATAATCTAATTAGAAGAGACGAAAAAAAAAACCGACCTCTTCTAAGATTCGCGACTTTCAACTCTTTTCTAGCAGATACCAAGGCGGAAGAAGATCCGAGAGAGACGACCAAGGACAAAAAAATTGCGACTGAAAACGAAAAAAGTCATATTGAAAATTTTTCGCAATTTTCAAAAACTGGAAATTATGTTCAGATTCACAAAATATGTTAGCTAAAAATGCTGCCTAGAAAAATTTAGCAATCGTATAATCAACTTCAGAAAGTTCATGTAATTGTTCCCGGTTGTCGTTCTACCCTGCGGCATGTTCCGAAATAATGGACTTTCAAAACAACTTGATCAAGAGCAACGGAAACATTGAATTACCTGAAGGCAGCTTCGGGAGCTTGATTTTCATCGTCGACTTCCGAAGAAGTTAGTTCGGTCAAAGCTCTCCTCTTCATCGTTTACTTTTTTTTTAATTGTAGGTTATTTAAAATTTCATCACCTTCAATGAAGGCTCTACTGGGTTCATTTTATTTTCATTTTTTTGTCCATTAAATTTATTAAAATTACTTGGCCTAAAACCAGATATATGAAAAAATTATTAAAGCATTTTCCCGTTTGAAACTAAAAAAAAATTGGAACTGAGTTTACATCAGGCCGCAGCCTAGTTACGATATTCTGTTTCGATTTTGAATTTTTGAAAATTTTGGAATTTTTGTTTTTCAATCTGTAACCTCAATCTCGGGCAAAGTTAGAATGGTAGATAATGGCCACTAAAAGGGATGAAAAAGGCAGCAAAAAGAGTCCCTTTATCGAGTCTCCTCTTTATTCTGTGATTTTAAAGGCTCAAGAAATTGTGGGAAAAGGGAGAGGCAGCAAAAATGGTGCATAAGAGCCGATAAATTGGCGCGAAAAGGCAGCAAAAAAGAGCCTTTGTCACCTTAAAAGGAACATTTCTATGGAACCTTTTCTGACTTTGCCTATCTGTCCTGTGCATCTCTAGACATAGAGGAAGTTTTTTTTTACTCCTCATTTATTCAAGGTTGCCATGAGCAGATCGTTCCGTAGTCCTGGACGACGATTCGTGAAAAGTCTCGGAAAAGACCAAAAAGAGGAGAAATGTCCTATCCGACTGGCCAAGTTTTCTACCCAGCTCAGCCAGTTTATGGAGCTCCCACTTACATTCAACAGCCTGGCTACGACTATAAGCAACCTTATAACGGGTGAGTCTTGTTTTGGAAAACTGTAAAGTGCGGATGGTAGCTGGGACATGGTTATTCTTGAAACAATCCTTTTTAGAGAGGGAAGTTTTTGAATTTCTCTGGAAAAAAAATTCTTTTTAAGACTCCCATGCGCTTTTACCTGCACACAGATACAAAAAACAATCCGCCATAAAAATAATTTTTTTAAAATCTTCCTCAAAAAAGGTGAACTAGTATATTTTTTTGTTTATTTTACGAAATGAATAATAAAAATGAGATAACAAAACTGAGCTTTGCGAGCTGAAGAGTACAGAAAATTAAGAGACGCAGATCTCTTTTTCTCTGGTCTCTCTTCAGTTCCCGCGTTGATTCGCTTGTAAATTATTTTGTTAATAAGTCCTCAACTTTTTAAATGAGCGTGATATTTTGCATTTTTTTTCTTTCAAATTAGGCCGAAAAGCCTTACCTATTCACTTCCAGATACCAACAACCACCAAGCAATCCTTGCGGCTGCTGCGAATGCTGCGGCTGCTGCTGTACCTCGATTTTCGCCTGCTGCGTTGGCCTGAGCTGCCTGGCTTGCTGTGATATTTGCAATTGAGATATGTATTCTCGATGAATTGGTCGCACGCGGAATGGCTCTATGCGTTGCGGTCGAGTTGCGTCTCCTTGAAGCTGCGCCAGACGCGTAACGACTTGTGAACGACAACGTGACCGCGACGCAGATATTTTTAAAATTATATTTTGTTTTAAATACTTGTAAAAATAAATAAATATTATTCGTGTGAACTGTTCTTAAACTTTTCGAATCTACGAAACTTGAGATCCGAGCGTCAGTGAGGTAATGAGTAAAAATAAGAGGAGTTAGAGAAACCTGGAGAACAGCAAAAAGTGAATAAAGAGCCAATTTTCAAGTTTTTTTCCTTTCTCGATATCCACTTCTCAGCAAGCTCTTCCTTTCATATGCTACTTTCTATTTTCTATTACCTCACCGATTAGAGAAAAGAGTGCGCAGATAGGTTAGACAGTTTCAAGTGGTGTCGAACTGGATATATTTTAATCGATGTCTTGAAAATTGGGAAAAAAGTGGTTTTTCGAAAAATGTTCAATACTTGAAAAAGCTGGATAAGCTAGCTATCATTTGTCGATTGTTAATGAGGATCCTACAGTATGCACTTGAAATCGTTCAAAAAACGTTTTTCCATAGTTTTATAGTCTAGAAGCTTGATTCCTAATGTTCATAGAGTGCGAATCCACGGCATTCCTAATGGGGTGAGGGAAGGTGAGCGAGGCGTCAAATTTTCTGAATAAATCAAATTGAATTTACAAAAAAGTAAGTGCGCGCTCCGGATAAAATAACGTCATAATTACCCTGCGTATTTAACGCTAAAAACTTGTTTGTTCGATCACCTTTGGCTGCGTACTTGAGATTTCAAATTTCGCGCCAAACACTTTTTGACGTCTCCCCACGCCATTTGGGAATGCCGTGAATTATCAATTTTCTTTGAAAAATAACTCGAATTTCGACAAATCAAGTCTCTTTCCAATTTTCGATCTTCACAGAACTTTAAAAATGAGAAAATTCCGATGACTCATCCGCCCTTTAACCTGTTTTTCCCTCTCTTTCCCTCTCTTTCTCTCTTTTTATTTCTTTCGCAAGCGGTCTCCGCCCATATGTATCGACCTACGGCCGCCATTTTCCAGTCTTTTTTTCTCATTTTCGACTGAATTTTCTGACAATTTTTCTTGACAATGTCACAGCCACCGCCCTACACGTCGCAACCAATGCCTTATGGAGATGTGGGTTTTTTTTTCAATTGTAAAAGGTAAAAAATATCATGAGCTGTCAGAAGTGTAGTGTACTTGAGTTTTTTTATCCAGATTTTAACGTTACGCTTGAAATCTCAAAAGAATCAATTCATCTAGAATAATATAACAAAGATGGAATCCCTTTCAAGTGTATGGACAGTATCAAAGAGAAATTACTGTTTTATAAAAGTTTCCTTGCGATTTTAAAAATAAAACTGAATTGAAAAATCCCTATCTTCTAAAGATGCTTTCGAAAAATAATTCAGAGCTTCAAGGAATAAAAAAATGAATTCCTGCCAAAAAATGCAACGTAAAAGCTGTAGAAATTAGTATTTTCTGGAATAATTTATTTTGAATCATCATTTTCTATATATCTTATTCACGTCCGCCTTGAAACGCTAAGGGGGCGTGGCCTGTCTGCGCTCTCCACGAGCCAGGAACTATCTCGTGCATTATCGTTTCAGGACCTTTTTCCGATGGCTCAAGTTAGCCGTGAACCAACTATATTTTCTTTTTGAATTTTTTTATTGTATTCAAAAAGGTCACCAATCTGAAAAACTATGAACTATAAAATAAATTTCCAAAACTTGGAACAAATGACGATTTTTCAAGTTTCAAATTTGAAATTGGTTGTTTCTCAAGAGTAACAATGGTGAGAGCGTATTATTCATGCATTATTTTTCAACAAAATGGAGTCTCAAAGCTGATTTTGTGATTATTTCGAAAACCCTAAAGTCACTACAGTAAGACTTTTCATGCGATTTCAAGTAAACCATTGAAAAAATAGAGAAAAAAATTTATACTTTCAGGCTTTTTTTTAAATATTCATAAGCCTTCAAGTACAAAAAAATCCCTACTTTTATTTAATTTCCAGGCCGGCTATCATCCACAGAACACAAATCCCTATTATAATCAAGGTGGAGCGGCTCCCTACCCTCAAGGATACTACAATGGACAGCCTCAAGTCATGTTTGTTTTTTTTTTTTTAAATATCCAAGTTTTGGAAAAAAAGGAGCTCAATGTTTAAATTGCGATGCACAGGCTTTTTTTTCAATCTTTCTCCCTTCCTTTTTTTTAATTCTTGGATTTCACTAATTCATCTACGTTTACTAAATATTCGTTTATCGCTCCAGGACCATTCAAAACGCAACATCTGCACTGATATATTCTTTATCGTGGAGAATTCTTGAAACTCAAATTATTCCCGTTTTCATGCCTCTTCCATCATTAAAAAATTCTTTGAGACAATTTTTTCCAAGGAATATCTTTTCTAAACGAGACATTGAAGCCTTCTTCAGACAAAATAGAAAGAAAAAAACAGTTTCCAAAAACTTTGCGGTTTGCAAAAAAAAAAAGAAAAACATCGGGAATGCCGGTCAGTGACTCGGTCGGCTTACTTTTACCCTTTACTCGCAGTTTCCAAAAACTTTGCGGTTTGCATAACCGTATAAAACACTAAAATATGGTTTTTCTTGGATTTGCTCTTTCAAAAATTACACTTTTACTGAGCAGTATCAATCAATAAAAGGTTCTTCTTTTCCTGTTTACCTACCTCGCTCGTCTGCCCCTTTACTCGCAAACAACTTGGGAAACTTTAGTCTAAAGTCTTTAGACTTCATCTTTTTTTATTTTTTGAAAGCAGATATCTAATAAAAATATATATAATGATAAATGCTAATATAACATTCCAGATACGTACAAGAGCCACGTCGGCAACAAGCGGCCGATAATAATTGCTGGCTGACTTCTTTATTGGCTCTGTGTTGCGGTTGTTTCATCGGCGAGGTCAGTTACAAAATAAATACATAGGGAAGTTCCAAAGATCTTCAAAGCCATTCAGAAAGACTATTCAAATAAAAAAAAATATAGAAGGCTAGGTATTTCTTAGATTTTAATAAAGAAAACTTGAATATTTGAGGTGATCTTTGGAAAATTTCACTGAAAAGACTGAAATATGATAATGAGGTCTTTTTAAACACACGATCCACTGAAAAGAATCAGCCAGACTGCGAGAAAACTTTTTTTGGCTTTTCAAAATTTAATTTATCTTTCAGGTCTGCTGCGACTCTCCAATGTTGTGCTGCATTATTCCCTGTCCAATCCGATGTCCTCGATTCCCGTAAAACATTTTTTAAAATAGTTCTCAAACACTGTAATTATCTTCCATTTGTTCACTTTTGATTAATTAACGGGTACATTTGATTAGTGATAAAAGTGCTATATGTACGTTTGTAAATAATTTGATGTAATTTGAACGTAAAGCATGGAAAAAATACGCAAGGATCAAATTTCCGTCGAAGGGAGTGGAGCGAAAACTTTCCGAACCAAAAAAAATTCGGAAAAAAAAAGTTTGATGAATACTAAAAGAACAAACATGGGGAAAGTTTCAATACATTGGAATTCTCAAAACAAGTGAAAAAATTCTGAGAATGGAAATCAAAGAAAAATCAGGCCTGTTTTTCTTTCTTTTTTATTAAACTCACTTACTCCGAGAAAAGCGATGAACCGTTGGTACAATAATTTCAAGTTTTGTTTTGAGAGTTGAAATTACAATAACAATTACTAGACATAATGTGTAAACTTTTAGGATAGTTACTGTGAGGCTCCGCCCCTTTCTGGATTACGGTAGGACTTTTCGTGAAATTTCCTAATTTTTTTCCTAGCTGACGGATCGATTCCAAACTTTTTTTAACCCAAATAACGGTATTTTGAAGCATTTTCATTGAAAAATTGGAAAAAGAAAAAATTTTTACACCGAAAAAATAATATATTTCACAGCATCTAAATGAATTTCATTATCATCCCATAAAACTACGACCTAAAAGTTGAATTTTAAAAAACTTACACGATGAAACTAAATTAAACGCCAGCGACCACGCCTCGGCCAGCCGAAAAGAAATTTATCTAAATTTGACATTTATGTAAAACCTTCTTTATCGCTTTCTCACCAAGCTTGATATTTTGACTCAATTTTTCAGAGTTTTCGGACATACCATCTGTAAAATTTTCATTCGAAAGTATTTTGATACGTAATCAAAAGATTAAAATTGGACCTTCTTTAAAGAAAAAAAATGATCTGTGTGTTGAATAGAAAAAGTTATGAACAAAACGAGAATCTAAGAAAAATTATTCAAATTTTTTGTCAGATCAGAAAATTTCAGAGCACATAATAAATAAAATAGGCAAACACGTCAACGAACAATATATGTTCAAGACGATTCCGAGGCAAAGTATATATATATATATATAGGGAAACTACAAACAGAGCTTTTTAAAAAAAAATTAATTTAAAAAAATTCAAGTCAATATTGAAAAAAAGAAATGGCTTGTTTGTACGCCCCAACGCGCTGAGCGAAATTTTTTACTTCGATCGAATCGAGATGCGTTTTTCATTAAGCAAAATAATGCATTATTTTGCTTCTCTTTCAATTATTTTGTTTGTTTTTTCATTTTTCTCTCAGAAAAAATACGAATAGAATATACGGTAAATTAAAAGTAAAGTGAAAAGCGTTTCTCTCTTTGATGCTCCCTAGTCGTTACCAGCGGTAATACAAAAAAAGCTTCTAATGTCGAGGAGATATAGGAAGATACTGCTTTTGAAATGAGAACTTCATATATTCATGTATTCAAAACAAAAGGTTCTTGGAAGTAGAGACTACGCGTAGCTATGTCGAGCAGTTTTCTAGACTCTTGAAGGAGGTTTGGACAAGTTTATTAGAAGCTTCACATCGAAAAATATCTCCCTCGTAAAGGACTTTATTTTTCATTTAAATTTATTTTTGATCGAAATGCCGTCTAACCAGGTAAGTCCGCTTCATAAAGGCCTAAGTCAGCACTGCTCTTTGACATTGAAAAAATTTCCAATGAACTATTCCTAATAGTTCCGCTCCACTATCGCATCTCTTTGGTTTGAAATCAAAACTATTCCCAATTTTTTGTATCTCATTCTCTCTCAGTTCCGCTCAAATGCTAATCTTCTTCCTTTGAGTCATTTCCAAGCAACTTTTCATAATGGTTTCACTCCGATTTCATCTTCAAACCGATCGACCTCTGCGGACACCCAGCAGGAGGAGAAGGTGGTGGCAAAAAAAGGGGAGTGTATGTGTGTTCAGCGCGGCGCGAGTCGACCTACGGCGACGGCGGCGGCGACGGTAGAGAGCGTTGGGAGCACGGAGACGCATCGGCGGCAATGTTTCCGCAAGGGAGTATTGAGCGGCCGCGGAAAACGGCGACGCGACGCGACACGCATCGCTCTGCCATCGGTTCGCGTCGACCTCCGCCGCCACCGCCGACGCAGTTACGTACGTCAACCTCTCTCTCGACCCCCGAGGCTGCCGCCGGCGCGCAAACATTTCCTTCCATTTTCGCCCCGCCGACTAGTTGGTTTCCTTCCTGACGGTGAGCTTCTTTCGGTTTCTTTCCCCTTTATTTCGTATACCTATGCCATCTTTGGTTAATTATCTCAAACTATGATTATCTGGAGAGGCCCTAGGAAGCTTCGAAGTGCCTATGTAGTAAAAACTAGTTTTTTTAAAGTTACTTTTTGAGCTTTCTCAGTGTTTTTCTCTAATATTTTTTTAAGTCCTATCTGTATTAGAGGTATTTTTCGAAGCTCAGAGCGATTTGAGAATCAGCCCTGTACAAATTTTTGAGCCATTAGATCGAAAAAAATTTTTTTAAATATGGTTAAAAGAGAGTTGAGAGCTCAGAAGCATCAATAAAAAGAGCTATGGTCCGAAAGAGAGCCACAGAAATTGAATTGAAGATTTCTCTAATTTTTTTCTAGGTTTTGAACTCTTTCGACTTCTGAAGTTTGAAGCTCAGCGACAACTCTAGAAAAAATAATGAGCGATATAAATATATGGATGTAAAGTCTAGTTTATTTATTGGTTGATAGAGCTTCTCTTCTTTTTTAAACTTCGATGAGATTCATATCGTTTATCCCAACACGAGAGGTCTCCACGAACTCAGAACTACTAATGAACGAAAATTGATATTCAAATATGAAGAGAAAAGTGTAAAAGTTTGTTTTCCACTTTGATATTGAAAGATTCTGAATTTTTGAATTTTCATTTTTCTTCTTTTTTTGCAATAAATATTTTCATGAAGCTTGGAAACATCCTTTAAAGTTTCTTTCTCAATCTTCAACTATATATTTGTCATAAAAATTAGAAAATATCATTTTTCCAGTTTCGCGAGCTTTCTCCAATTCATTTTTTTAATGCTTGAAAACTGAAAAATCCTTAATAATAGTTTTTCCAAACTCTTTTTCTTCAATAATTGTTTTCTCCCAGCTGAGTTTTTTTTATATTAGCTCGTTAAATTGCTATAAATCTATAAAATCTTCCTTCTTGGAAGCGTCGTTTCAAGATTAGTTCGTTTTCTCAGACTTTTTTCTAAAATCCTTTAGTATAGATACTTTATTGTTTTCTCGATAAATTTACAAAGCAAAGTTTACAGGTCTCAATGTCTGAAAACTCCGAGGAAAATGAAGAAAAAGATCAAACGCGCGAACAGTTGGACGAGGAGGCAATGAAGGAGGTTTTGATATATTTTATGGATTTGTTTCTTCATCATGGATTCAGATAAACGCGCTTTTCGGCGGTCGAGGCGTGAGAATGGACGAAACTCCGGCTTTCAATATCCGTCTTATCGCGGAGGTTTTTTTGAATTTGTCAATAATAACTCTGAAGAAATTTTCCATTTTTCAGGTAAAATCACGTCCCTACCTTTATGATCACACAGACGAGGGCTATAACTTGATAACTTGGCGGAATAACGCCTGGACTGAAATCGCGGAGTCGTTGGAAAGCACTCGTTATTTCACTTTCAATGTTTATTGATTGAAAGTATTGATTTTCCAGCGGAACATGTGAAAACTCGATGGAAGACTCTGAGAGATAGGTTCAAGAAGGAAGAAAAGAAGGAGAGACAGGCCAAAAAAGCGTCGACTTGGGTTTTTCAAAGGCCTCTTCGGTTCATTCAAGCTCATGTTAGAGACCGAATGTGAGCTTTTCTTGTTTGGTTATCGTAAAATAGCCACGAGGATTTATTTTCTTTCATTTTTTGTACAACCTTGCTTCATAGGAAAAGCGAATATTTTTCGCGAGAGTCTTCAATTTTGACTAGTTCAAGCTCATTTAACATCAACACAAAGAAGGTTTTTTTTCCCATATCGGCTCAAAATCCAATAAGGAAGTTCAGTTTTTCAAGTGAAACAGCTTTCAGAAACTTTTTTTTGATTTTTCTCAAAATTTAAATGAATTTTAAAAAAAAAGTTTTTCCGAATTTTCTCCCCTTTTTGATATTTAGAGAACAGATGGGCGTTTTCTTCAGAAACTCGAGAATCTAGATTCAGTTATCAGTAGAAATTTTAAAAGGAAGCACTTGAACTTTAAAAAAATAAGTCTCAAAAAATTCACTTTTCTAGCGTTTTTTCGAAAAATTACCGGACGAATGCTGCTTTTTCAAGATCTTTTTTGCAGAACAGACGACTATGATGGTGGAATCGAAGAAAAATCGGCCGAGGGCCAAGTTTCACCGATGGAAGTCGCGATCAACTTCATCGAGAGCGAAATTATCAAGAATAATGCCGAAAGTTCGGCGAGCCCCAGTGAAACGAGTAGTTCGACGGTGAAAGCAGGTAAAATTTTTGAATGTTTGGAGGGTATAGGAGATATTATGGTAGACTTCAAGAAATGCGCTTTTCACTGAAACTATTTCAATCGTTTAAAAAGGGATTTTAAAAGATTTTTTGGGTTTTTTTTCAACTTTAGGTGCTCTGTTAAAAACAAAAATAGAAAATTGAGCAGGTTGAGACTTCCAGTCACTTTTTCTGGTAGCACAAGGAGTTACCTGGCCAATTCTTATGGAATTCTCAGCCGTTAAGTAAAATGAGCTTCCTTGTGAGTACACAGGCAAATCCGAACGACCTCAATAAGGCCTTAAAAGAATAGCCTAAAGCTCCTTTCTAAGTTCCTAAAAAGGTGTCAAACGTTTCTCGGAGTCTTCCTTCTTTCATCTTTTTTCCGCCTCTTTTTTTAGCTCCTCAAAAGATCCTTTTCAGAAAAAGATTTTAAAAAAAGGCGCCTTTGAGGAATTTTTCCAAAAGTCCTTTCGAGACCTTTTAGTCTTTGCCCGTGCTAGTACGTTACTTTTCATCAAATACAAACTATCTTCGAATTTGGTGCGTTTTTGGCCTTCAAGGCGGTTTTATCGCCTCAGAAACGTCTTAATAGTCGTCAACACAGGGTGAACTAATAAAGAACCGTCGGAAACATTTCAAAGCCTAATGAATTAGTGCCGTATGCTTGAGACTCTTGAATTTGCATTTAAAAAAAACCCTACAGGTGAATTTTTTGTAGAGAATTGCATTGTGGAAAAGCGAAGTTAACAGAAAAATTATATATGAACTGGCTTGAGCCATCGAGAAAAGGTTCCTGACACGTTAATAAAAGAGACAGTGCTTAGTTGGTGGAGAGCGCAGACACGCCACGCCCCATTAGCCTCCCAAGTTAGCCCTGAACCGATTATATTAAAGACTGAACAGTGACACGATCTTACAGATTTTCCCAACACATTTCACCTCTAGAAAAAAAAAATATTTTAACAGTTCCAGAACCAAGCGAAGCGCCTCCGGCGATAGTTCCTCCACCTCCTCCAGCCTTGACACATCCCCCACCGCCAAAAAGGGCCAGAGTCAGCCTCACGGATCAGTCCTTGCCATTGTGAGTTTCTACGCTGGCAAAGTTAGAAAGAAGAAGTTTTTCTTATGAAGGCTTACGCTGGCAAAATGATAATTTGAGAAGAGAACTTCAATAGAAGTTAGATTTCCGGAAAAAAAAAAGACAAGTGAAAGCCGAAAATGAAGCTTTTTTGATAAAAATGTCTTTCTAGAAAAGTTAGAAAAGTTTCAAAACGGGATGATCTCACAAAAAGAGTTAATGAAAACAGGAAACATGCCTTTTTCTTGAAAAAAAAAAGAAGGAAGCTTGGTAAGTTTTTAAATAGATTTGGATAATTTTCGGATCTTCTTGTAAGGTCTTCAAAAGCCTTCTTGGACTCTTCGAAAAATGGAATGAAAGAAATTTTTGAAGGCTCGGAAGACCGGGTATGAACTCACTATGGGGCCAGTGGAATCGGCTGGAAGATGAGGAAGACGAGATTTTCGGCCAGTTGATTGCGATGAAGCTCAGCAAACTCGACAATCGGACCAAGGAGCTGGCCAAGGTATGGTAGGAAGAACCAAAAAGTGTTGAAAATAAAATTTATATCAATATTAAACTTGCTATTTTTTGTGAAGATTAACCTGCGTTGCGAATTCGAAATTTTTCAAAGATAATAGCTCAAAATTGAAAGGATTAAAAGACAGGGTGTTCATTGATATCATGACGCGAAATTCGTGAAGTTTTATATATCATGAGCAGAAAAATTTGATGATTCTAGGCTGAAAAATTTCGAATCGAGTTACAATTTTTTTATAAATTTTAGGGATTATTGATTGCTTCTTGAGATTTCACAGGCCATTTTTTTCTTTCAACTTTCATAAATCATATAATGTTACCCTTTCTTCAATATAGAGGCATAAAACGAGCAAAAAAAGGAAAAATTTCAAATAATTATGAGTTAAACGTACAGAAGGAAGTAAGTAAATTTTTTTAAATCTCAAAAACGAAATCATTTTTGAATTTGATGTAAAAATCAATCTCATTTTGTGAGTTTTATTAAAAATTTTCAAGTGAAATAATTTTTCAGATGGAAGTCCTCAAAGTGATCTTCGAGGCGCAGTACGGCAGTGTAAATAAAACGAGTTGATCCGCAAGAAAACCTTTTACGTTCAAATTTATGAATCTCATCCTCTAATATTTCATGTACACATTTTTTTTCTGTTGGAACATTATAATGTGCCATTCATTTTCAAAAACCTTATCCCAGATCATTCCTTACCCAATGCTGGTCTTTTGGATGTCTCTTTTTCAAAAAGATAGAAAAATGCTCTTTTATATACCGGATCACTATGATCTTCAATCAAAATACGTGTTGAGAACAGTTGTGACAAGAAAAAGTGGTTATAATAAACATTTTATTTCACTTCTTTTTTTTCTTCTTTTTGAATGGAAGCTTGAGCTTTGGATAGCATCTGAACGAAAAACATGAACAAAAAAGGAATTATTTGAGGAAAAACCTCCAAAACTTTGTCGGGAAACCGTCTCCTCTCTCTTACGATACAGCTGGCGCAAAAATACGACCCGAAAAATGTTGAACAAGCCTAAAAATGTCCCTTTCTTCGATGTTTCCATTCATTTCTCACCTTATCGAAACAAATGACCCTATCGCAAAGGGAACACGTCGAGCCAATCACCATGAAGTCGGCCAACATTGGCTTTCGAGTTTTGACTCGCACTGGCGGCGCGAATGGATCTCGCATGAAGAAAACCGGGGCAGGATAACTGAAATTCAAAATACTTCAATTTGAAAATCTTATGCACAAAACTCACAATCCATCACTTCCTTTCAAATCTCCAAACAAGGACTTTTCCTTCATGTGGCAAATGTCGCACTCGAAATCGACGAATGGGTCGACGAGCCGCAAATCTTGGTCTTCTTCTTTCTTCTCTCCTTGGGTTTCTTCAAAACCTCCGGTATTTGTACAGCTTGGTTCACATAACTTGGCAGAAGATTTTTTATTGAGGCGCTCTTTTTCGCGTTACCAATGCTTTTTTTTCTTTTTGGGAGTTTTTAATGTCTTTTTTGGGTGGTATGAAAAAAACACCAGCGAAAATTCAAACGACGACTTTTCCGATTTTTTCATATCGCTAGGGAACTTTCCGACGGCCACCTTTCCGACGAATCTTTTTCCGACTTTTTTTCTCGATAAAATCTTCGTTTTAAATCTTCCTATATAAAGTAGGTAGTGAGCTCATGATTTAAACACAAAGAAATAAGAAAAAATGTTTATAGATGTTTTATAAACCGAAAAAAACCTAAGTGAAAAAAATCATAAAGGGATTCGGCGGAAAGGTGTCCGTCGGAAAGTTCCCTAGCGATATGAAAACATCGGAAAAGTCGCCGTTTGAATTTTCGCTGGTGTTTTTTCATACCACCCCTTTTTGAAATTGTTCAGAATAAAAAAATTCATTCTCTGCAAAAAACGTGAACCCCGTGGCAAGCCCTCATTTTTTTAATATCGAAAAAAATAACACGTACAAAAAAACCACGTGGCAACGTGTCATTTCTACTTTTTTGGCCTGGTTTCAATCATCATTTCTGCTTCCTTTACGATTCGTCTTGCTTCTTCAACGTCAAGATAAGTTTTGAGCCTTCATAAAAGCTTTAACTGCCAAAATAGTTGAGCTATAAGCGCTAGTAGATTAGGCCCGCGGGACTCCCGGAGTGCCGATCCTTTTCGCTTGCGAATTGGATACGCAAAGTCAAGCTGAAGCCCATTCCTGTGGCCGAAGCAGAAACTGTTGGCAGCGCGATGCTGACAAAGCGATGATGGGACCCCCGCGGAAAATGCCGTCACGGCTTTCGGCGTCTAGGATTAGTAATGACAAGGCCGAGCGGAGCTCTAGCGCACCGCCTAGTTAGTTCTTCTGACTGCATAAAGCTTTCCTAACTTACTTATGACTTTACATAGCTATTTATTCAAATCATTGTGATTCAAATGATGCAATCGACTTGATTTTTTCAATGATGAAAATATTGCAGAAAGCTTTCAAAGCACTTGTGATCAGTCCATGCAACTCGACGACACTAGATCCATGACGGACGGCGTGCGATCAACTGCTGAATCGGCTAAACAACACCAGGTACCAGCCCAACGCTCTAAAAAGCAGCCGAGGGTTTTTTTTTTCTGTGTTCAATTGCAAAGGAGAACATAAATAAAAGTATATTCACATGTCATCTACGATGAAACATTGACGCGAAAGATATTACAACATTCGGGGCGAAATAAGCTGCTTGACATTCATAATCTGAACAGACTATAGAAACGGTCCATCACGCCCGGACATGTTTTTTCACGTCATATTCTTAAAACTGACGAGGTTTCAAAAATTTCCAAAATTTCGCGGAATCACTTCAAAAAGGACATGAAAAACTCCCAAAAAGAAGAAAAACTCGGACATTGGAAACGCGAAACGGACGCGAATCGGACGTGTTGGAGCATTACTAGTGAAAGCGTCATCATTATTAATTGATCCTTAGAATTGCTCAGAAAAATTTGGAGCACGTCCGTTTTGCGTTACCGATGTCCGAGAAGAAAGAAGAAAAAATAAATCAAAAAGGCGTGAAAAAGCGCGCCCTAATGATAAATCTCTTGCACTGGTGAATCGAGAGGTAGATACAAGTATGTACCGGGTAGTAACTCAAGTGAATCGGCGAATCGTAATCGGTGGTCATTTGTATGCGACCGGGTACTATCTCTATGGTACCTGGATAGTATCTGATCGGTATCTGGATGCTACCGGGTATGTACCTGAAATTCGCGATTGCCACTGGCTGGCACATCGGTCGTTTATATACCATCAGTGTTTTTTTACACCTTCCCAAGCCTTCCAGGGTCTTATTGGATAAAGCTGCAACAAAAAATAACGACCCGGGAAGCAATTCCAGACTTTCCGAAAGAAATCGCGAATGTCAGGTAGCTACTTGCATCGACCTCCGACCCAGGTACCATAAAGATGGTACCTGGGTCGCATACAAACGACCACCGATTACCACACGTCAATTGACTTTTTTAAAAGTTGCTACCCGGTAGCTACTTGTATCGACTTCTCGATTCATCTTTGTGTCAATTTCCATGAGTCAAGCTGTACAAATACCGGAGGCTTAACAGATAAAAAAAATCTTAAAAAACGGTTAGAATAACTTTCGCGAAACCTGGATTTTCTGCGGAAGTTGATGGCTCTTGATTCATTCTTGCGACCTGAAAATAACAATTGGAAGTGGGAAGAAAATGAATGCGAAAATAAGAGAATTCGAATGATGTCGATTTACGGCGTCACTTGAGAGCTGTGCAGGAGAGCGCACATTGAAATTTTCCCTTTTAAATTTTTTCTCCGCGAAGTTTCATTTTTTTTCAATTTCCTTTTTTGTTGCAAACTTCGTGTTGTAGTCTGTTCAAGAAAGTTTGCTGGATAGTTTGAAGGCACGGAAGTTTAGGAAGAGAAACAATAATACTGCAAAGGGCTTTTTGCCTGTGCAATCTTTGAAAAACGTCATATGTCTGTTTTTCTTTGAAAACTTCGGTAAGAAGTTTTGAACCTACGTTTTATCGATTCTCTCAAGTTCTTCGTTGAGATAACTAGATTTGAACAAGATAAACGAACTGATGCGGAATTTCTTCAAATAGCTATCCAAAAAAAGTTCAAGTTTCTCAGTCCTTTCTTATCCAGTCCTGCGCAATTTCGAGGTTATTGTGTTTATAAAGCTTTCTGGTTTGATGTTTCTGGATTTCATTTTTAATTAAAATCAGAAAAAAAAAGTTAAAGAGTAGGCTGTATATACCTTTTCTTCAACTTATCTAAATTTTAATTGGATTCCTTTCTTATATTCAATTATTTTCCAAAAAAAACCAAACGAAAAATCCACATCTCTCTCGCACATTTTTCTTCGGCTCAGTGTCTCAAAATGATTGCGAGAGCCACCCAGGATGCGGCAAATTTGGCCGCCATCTGCCCCAGCCGGCCATCAAACCCTCGAAAATCGTCCTTTTCTTCCTAGCAAACCTCAATCAACCACTTTTCGAAGCAATACGTAGTTTACTCCATTAAGACTGACGTGCTTTTCCTTTCCATTGACTTTTTTGGAACGAGTATATTTGAAAAAAACTTGCGGCCATATTGATGAGGTTGCTTTCGGCGCACTTGCTTTTTATAGGTTTCTGCGTTTTTTCGAAGCTTTCGATCAATGTTTTTCAGCTTCGCTCCAGTTGATGAAAACTTCTGATTATCAACTTTTTTCGAAGAGAAAGAGTCAAATTTTATGAAAACTTCGTTCAAGCAGCTTTTCCACTTGTTTTCCTGACATTTGAGACGCTCAGTGGCTTCTTTTCACTGCCACGCTTCATTAACTTTGTCGTGAATCGATTCGAGGCCTCTTTTCTTCATGTAAAGTTGTTTCTAGTTTCAGGAATGTGTACTTTTTTTCATAATGAAGGTTATGAGATGTGGATCAAATTTTTTTTTCAATAGTAGTATTTTTCTAAAGGCCTCATTACGGTTTATAAAATAGCTGAAGTAAATTTTGGATTAAAAAAAAAAGTTATTTTTGGTCGAAGCTCATGCCGGGTTCAAAGTGATTTCCGCGAAATGGAGAACTCTTCTCTGAATTTCCAAAATTAAGTTATTTTTCACTTTCTGGCGGCTATTTTAAATTTCGCGGAATCAATTTGAGCGAATAGGCAAGTCGGAAAGGATGGAAAAATGCTTTATAAAAATATTCCTTTTAGAGTGACGAAGGCTCCTTTTTTGCTGCCTTTTGCTGATCAGCTCTTATCCGCCATTTTTGCTGCCTTTCCCTTGTTTTGCTATTTCTTGAGCCTTTAAAATCCCAGAAAAAATGGAAGACTTGAAATAGGGACCCTCTTTGCTACCTTTCTGCGGCCTTTTTTTAGCCTCTCCCTTTTAGTGGCCATTATATACCATTCCGACTTTGCCCGAGCATGTTATTAGGGAATGCAAGACTTGTAAAATTTCAATTTTCGAAAAAACTAAACGTTTTTTGAACTTTCCCCGTACTATCCGCACGCCCCTGACCTCCGGTTTGCGTTTCCCACACGTTCCAACTCTTTTTTTTTGGTGCTGGTCCACGTTTGTGGAGAAAAGAACGGCCGACCCTGCGTCCTTTCCCCCCATTCTCCTCTTTGATCCGACGCCTTTTCCGTACCCCGTCTACAGTTATTATGTACTATATGGCGTTCTCCTTCACACATATCCGCTTGATGCCCGCCAGCTGACGCTCAAGCATTATGAATTATTGATCTCAAGTCACGACTTTTTTCCTGATCCCACATTTATTGAACTTTTGTTCATTTTGGGTGGGGTGGTTTCTTTTTCTTATTCATTAGTTTGTTAGGGGTCACCCCATAAATGGAGTTAATTTTTTTTGTGCTGAAAATTAATAATCGCAACGTTTTTTCAAAATCAAATTTTTTATTTCTCACACACAAGTACTAAATTTCACGAAATAGATGTAGGGAGAGTTTGGGAACACATGTGTCGGAACTTGTGGTGATGGAGGGAAGAGGACTCGCGGTCGTGTTAACCCCCCACTTGAGTAAATTGGAGTAACCTTGAAGTTATTCTTTTAAATGTCGATTATGTAGCTTTCATATTTTTGTTGGATCAAGAGTGTTTAGTTCTGTAATGTTGTTTTCAAACCATTTCTCAAGTTTAGATCTGAACTTATTTTTTCATACTCAAATACTATGTTTCTATCCATATGATTTGAATAGGAAAGTCTTAAACTTTTGTTAATCTAGGACTTCTATCTCAGATTTATTGAACTTTTCTTCATTTTGGCTTGGGTGGTTCCATTTACTCAAGTATCACTTTGTTATAGGTCACTTCATGAATGGAATTAATTTTTATTGGGCTGGAAATTTTCCTTGCAACATTTTTTAAATGGAAAAGTCGTAAATGTTTGTGAATCTAGAACTTCCAACCTACATTTATTGAACATTCCTTCATTTTGGGTAGGGTGGTTCCTTTTTTCATTCAATATTTTGGCATGGGAGAATCCATTCATTCAAATTAATTTTTTAAAAACTTATTCGAGAAAGTCGCAAACTTTTTGAATGTCGTATATTGATGTGACTTTTATCCTTGAACTTTTTTCTCGTAAAACTCGATCCGAATCATTTCTCAATTTTTGAAGCAAAATTCATATTATAATGAGCAAGATTTTTTTCCAATTAAAAAAATCCATTTTTTTGAAGCTAGGACTTCTCACCCCGCTATTTGATCTTTTTTTCATTTTCAAAATTATTTGAACCTTCTTTCCTATTCAATTTTATATACTGAAGCTCACAGCTTCCCGATGTTATTAAGAATCATCCTAAAAATTTTTTTAATTTAATCATTTTTTTCTGACCAATATTCAGAAAGTCCAATCTTTTTTCTTTAAACTCGCCATGGAGATTGAATAAAAAATTCATGAGAACTGAAAGTTGCGCTCTTTGGAAAAGTACAACGATGTTTGAAGTGGAAGAAAATGGCTGCTAATTTCGAAAAAAAAAACTTTCTTCTGAGGAAAGCGGTGGGCTTTTTTGTGATTTCCATGACATTTATTACTGAAAACCTTCAATAGAACTCACTTAAACTTTAAGAACGCGCCAAACTTCCAATTTTGGGCCATTCCCTTTGAAAGTTCCCAAACATAGTGACCAGTCGAAAGTTGGAAATTGTTTGCCGTGTGCAAAGGACAAGTTTCTTCCGTTTTGTGAGTCAAAACGCATGCAAAAATCCATGTTGAATGTTTACACACGACCCTCTCATGCAATCGCGCTCTTCCTTTCGTTATTTTCCTTTTCAATTCGTTTCTTTTTTAAATTTCACGCGCTGTGCGCCCGACTATAAACTACTTTCGCGTAGTAGACCGTTGCATAAGGATAGTCGCGCAAAAATTTTTTTGAAAGTTTTTATTTGAATCAAGTCAAAAGATAGTTTAAGGGGGAAAAATTTGATTTTGATCCTTTTTTCATTCAAAATGATCGTTTAATCACCACAAATTCAAGAAAATTATTCAATTTTCAAGCCGCAGCGCGACCGCGACGCTTCGGGGCACTCCATATTTTTTTTTACGATTAAAGTTGAATGAGACTATGATTTTTGATAGTTGAAAATTGAGAAAAAAAATGTATTCAAATTTTTTTCTTTTTTTCAAATATATTCAAATTTTTTTCCTCGTACCGCGACCTGTAACAAAAGCGTATTTTTTCCACTGAAAGTTTCTTTTTTATTTTTTTTTTCTTTCGTTATAAAAACGTGAAATTGGATTTTCAGGCCGCTTTGATTGTACGAAAATGTTGTGAAAAAGGATGAGCAAGAACAAATCGCCGGTGAAAAAGAGCCGAAAAATCATCCAAATTATCAGTCCTATTCCTATGCTCAATCGGGAAACAGTAATGGATCCGGTCCGAGGTTTGTCAATTTCACTTTTTAAAAAGAATTGTCATCAAAAAAATTATTCATAACCCTTTCAAGAAGCTCCAAATCGTGAAAAATGTCAATTTTTCGAGCATTTTTTTAGTGTTGAAAAATTAAGAAATTGTTTTGGAAAAAGCTTATTTTCAACCCATCAAAGAAAAATATTAATAATTTTGCGTCGAAAAACTCATCTGTTCCGAAAAGAAAAATATAAAAAAAGTTCAAAAAAACGACATTTTTCTAAAAAAATTGGCTTTAAACGTGGGAAAATTTTCAGCGGCCACTATAGGGTTTTTGACTTTTCAGTGACCACTATAGTGTCCGCTCCAAGTAGTCCTTGGCGAGACCGAAAAATTTTCTGAGATTTCAAAGTTATGAACAATTTTTTTACAAAAATTTCTAATTTTTCTTTTTATTAGTTTTGTTATTTTTTTATTATCTTAAATTTTTCCTTTCCCTTTTTTTACACAATCTCCTTTAGATAATCTGAAGTTAAAGTTCTATCTTTGGTAAATCCCAGATTTTTTTCTTTAAAAAAATAATGAAAAAAATGAAAAAAACTGCGACTTTGGTTCGAAAAATCCAAGCCCTCATGTTTTTTTCGATGAGAACCCATATTTTTCGGGGAAATCTCTTTTTCTATCTCTGCAGGAAATGAAGCAGGTGCTTCTCTCCAACGTTATTTTCGATCGATTCTGAGAACTCTTCTTTTTTTTTTGCGAGAAATCCTATTTGATTCAACTTTTGTTTGCCGTATGACATTTTTAAGTCGAAGGTAATCTGTTTGATAAGAAGTGACGTGGAAACGCGTGAACGTGTGTCGGTTTTTTTGGAAAAGTTTGAATTTCCTTTTTTTAAAGTTTCAGTTGGAGTATGAAGAGCTAAAATTATTTTCACCCAGAAAATTTTCATATTTATCAAGATTTAACTTTGATTTTTTAAAAACTCCTCGGTCAGTGAGGTTTAAATCACTATTTTTTCTCTTTTCGAAGCGTCATGTGGTCCAATGAAACACTCTGACCTGTCTGCGCTCTCTTTTCTCTCACCTTCGAGTTTATAGAAACATGGAAATAGCACGTAAAAACGAGAGGGCATCGAAAAGGAAGGAGAGAATGCAGATAAATCACAATTTGACAAGTTTTGGCTAGTTGACTGTACATACCCTAGTATAGTCCGTTTTTCGCGACTGGAAAGGATGGGACTTCTCTGCGCCCTCCTTGTCTCTCAACGTCTCTCTCATGTTTACGTGCTGTTTCCATGTTTCTCTGACCTCGCCGGTGAGGGAACAGAGAGACGCAGACACTCAAAAACTGTCAAACCGCGGCGGATGGACCAAAAATTTATAAAAAAATTAGAGAAAAACAAGTAATTTTTATTTTACGAAATTTGGCGAGAACCTTGCAAATAAATCATAAAAAAAGGTCCCAAGAAATTAAATTTATTTTTTTGTTTTTCAAATCATGAGGAAAAAAAGAAGATTTTATAATTTAAATATATGATTTTTTTAAAGATTTAAAACTATGATTATTTTTCCAGTTATCAGAAAAAAAGTTTGAATATGAGTAATATGATCTATTAATTAATTAACCTGATTTAAAAATAAGCTGATAGCCCAGGAAAAGAGGACCCACCTTTCCTTCGTTTTCTCTCTTGAGACCCTCTTCTTCTCTTTTTGTTGTTTTCCCTGGCCGACCCAGCAATTCGCAACTTTTTCCGTCATTTGTCGCCCATTTGCACTATTCAATGTTACCCAATCGTTTATTGATTTATTAGCCCTTTTTCTTTGATTTTTTTATAGAGAAAAAAATTAGGAGAAATTTTGAAATTATTTAACGTTTTCCAGTACTTCTTTCTACCGGTTCAGAATTTCAAGAAAAAGCGATAGATCTTAATTTTTGATGGTAGCTATCGCAAAAATGTCATTCAAATTGTCAATAAAATTTTTTTAAGTTCCGTCAATTTTTTTCGTTTTGAAAGTTGGCATGAAATCTCGCAGAATATGATCTCTGATTAAAAAAATTTGAAAAATCTTCTCAAATTCACTAATTTTTTTTCAGGAAAGTATTATGATTCGTATGGAATAAATGATGAAAAACTCCTTTAATTTTTTTATTTGAAAACGGGCCAAGGAATTTTTTTGGCGCCCCATCGCGGCCTAATGAGATGATTGTGTAGAATCCGCGCCCCAACACGCCTTCTTTTCTCATTTTTTCCCTTTTATGGCCTCTCGAACGGCATTTTCGATGACTTTTCTTTTTTTGGGCGATTTTAGAGCGTGTAAAGGTAGAAAATGGATGTAGGTTTGCCGTAAATGAAAATTAAACACATTTGGGAGGTAAAATAAGATTTTAATCACCTCATTTATTGAGTTTTCGAGCTAATAAAAGTGAAAAACGGGTTGAATCGTAATGGAATTGTGAAGGTCAAAATGCTACTCAAGAGAAAATTTCAGTTCAGCCACTTCAGAAATGCTCTTGAATATTGAAAAACGTGCGTTTCCTTTCTTTTTTTTTTCGTAACGTGCCTCTTTTCTTTAGGTTCAAGTTTATTGAAAAGGATTTTATATCGATTATTTGAGCTTCATTTATTTCCAATTGGGCGAAGCATAAAAATATAGGTTTTGAAAATTCTGATAGATTTTTATGGGATATTTAGAAAACTTTTGTGAGAAATAAATGAAAAAATGTGGGAAATTATATATCAGAACCATTTTGAGCTTTACTATTTAGAACTAGAAGGCTTGGAAAAATTTTAAAGCTTAGAATAAATTCACTATTTGCACCTTTTTGGCCAAAGATTTCAATTTGTAAGCCCAATTTCGGTTTTCAAGTTATTTGAGCGAAACGGATGAGCTTTTTCTGAAAAAACACCTTTCAAAAGTACTCAAAAGTTTTTTTCACTTTTTTTTCAATAAAAAAAGAAGCTTGAAAGATTCCAGGAGATTCAAAAAGGATCCATTGAGGTTCATTCTAGGAGCTTTTAGAAGAACATTTTCAAGACCTTCTAAGGGATCTCAAAGGAACTTTTTCCGTTTGACTTTTTCACGAAGTTCAAGGGAGCGATTTTGAACGAATTTCATAACTGTCTAGTCTTTCAAGTTCCGTCAATCTCTTTCGATGGGTTCAAAAATGACGTTCTGAACGGCTGGGTCTGAAAATGCATGTGTCGCCGCGATCGATGCCGACATCTGTTGTACTCGTTTCACACGCGCTTCCAAATGTCTTGTTTCCGTCGTCTCTCATCCTCTATAACCATGATTTTATCGCAATCAAATCATTAATCGGAAGATTTCGCCTTGTTTATAGGGGTTTCTTTGACCTTGATCAGAAATATTTTTAACTGAATCTTTTCGATGAAGATTTTGTCGTAGAACTCGGCAAATTTCTAGTCAAAGCTTGATGAATTTTATATTAAAAAAAGTCTTTTGAATGTTTTAACCTAACTATCGTTGCATCATCATTCAGGGTGTGATAGAATTGTAAAAAAACCGAAAAAATTCATCTGAATTTCCTCCAGCTTCTATGCTCCATTGATAATCATAAGCGTCAAGTCAAAGTTGATCGTTTCTGAATTATTTTTATATTGGACTTTGGTAGCGAAACCCGGACGTTTCTGAGTAATCCTAAGGATCACTTAAGAGTTCTGACGCTACTAAAGAGGTCACTAAAATTGCCCGGTCACGTCCGACCATCCTGGACATTGATAACGCGAAACGGACGCAAATCGTACGTGCTTCTATTAACCATCTAAGTAGCGTTTAGGAAGATTTCGCAGTAGAGCGCATAAGTTCAAATGCATTTTTTCTCCACTTTGACTTAATTTTATTGGAAAATAGTTTTATTATTCCTCGTGGGAGGAGCTATGCTATCAGTTCACGTTTTCCGAAGTTTCCGCTCGAACTCTTGAAAATTATCCGTGGAGCACAGAAGTTCAAGTTTTTTGATTTTTGAAAATTTAAAATGTTCTAACATCCTTAAAACTCGCTTTATTTCACGACTTTAATGATATAAAGCTTTTTTTACCACGTGGAACAGAAATTTAATCGAAGAATTTTTCGAGTTTTTTTGAGTTTTTCCACTGACATTTTTCTGTAAATAACTTATGGAAAAAAATTTAAGAGTCTTGTTTTAAACGTTTCCTCCAACTTCTCCTCCTATCCCAGAAATATTCTAGCCATTTTCGACCTTCAATTCATCATCATCCGCCCTCTCAAACCTTTTTCTTGCATTTGGAAAAAAAATCGCGCGATTCGTCACGTGGGAGAGTTGTTCAGGGAAAATGATCAAATTTATCTTTTTCACGTTTTTTTTCAAAAACAATATTTCTTTCACCACTTAAATTTTTTTCAGTTGGTTTTTCTGGTTTCCGAGCGAAAAATCGCTCAGTTGACGGCGTTGCCCGAGTGGTTGAGCCAGCTGGGAATTCGCGACGAAAATCTCGAAAATATGGTTGGTTTCTGTAATTTTACTTGTGGGCTCAACCAAGGCAGTTTTTGTTGGATTTCCGACCTTTTTGATGCTTCAAAGTGCAAAAGTTATCTCTGACTCTCCAAAATCTAATTATCTTTTCCACTCTAAGATGGCTTCTCTGAATTTCGCGCAGTTCCTAAATGGTTTAGTTCGAAATTTCAAGTTTCTAAAGAATTTAGGTTGGAAGGAAATGGTTTGAAGTCATTAGAGGCACCATTTTTCGAGCCATTTTGAGTTTTTAAGCGTAAATTCAGAACATTTTTCGTTGTTAGAGTTTTTTAATGGAAAGGAATACCTTTTAAAAAAATAGAAAGCAGGGCATTTTCTTCCTTTCAAAGCCTTTTTATTAGGTCGTTTACTTAGTTTTTTTCTTTTTTTCGGTTAACAATTTTTTTGAAAAGAGGCCCTCAAAAAAAGAAAGAAACTTAGTAAACAACCTAATATTTTATAGGATTTTCCGGTTTCCAAAGTTTTTTTCAATTTGAATAGAACACGTTGCGAAATTAATGTTAAAACAATTTCCTCAATTTTTTTGATTGAAAGCTCAAGTTGTGGACTTCTGAGATTCTTTACGAGAAAGAAAGATGTTATGATAAACCATTTTATTTTATTTTGGTGCTAGTTTCACAGAAATTTCCGATTTTCTCATGGGAAAAAGTTTCAAGATAAAAAAATCTATTTTTTTCAATTTCAGGGTTTGATTTTTGGCGCATTTTTTTAGTCTTTTTCTTTTTTTATTCATTTCGTATGAAAAGAAATTTATCACAGAAGTCGAAAAAAATAAGCATTTTTTTCTAAATTTCTGAGCGGTTCAGCTTCCTTTTGGGGGTCTTTTTTTGTTACTAATTATTTTTAAATTAAAAAATGTATGTCCGAAAAAAATAATGAGGCCTTATATAGATTTTGAAAGCAGTATACATCAGTTTTTCAAAGCAATTCATAATAATCATCGAGAATCAAAAAAAAAAGTTCATATTCTTGTCTATTTTCCAATGTTGAAATGCTGTAAAGCATCCATTAACAAAGGGAAAATCCCACACCCACAATTTATTTTTGCTCTGACGAACGGGGAGGATAATCTTGGCCCATTTTTACGGATGAATTTGCCTCCTTCTCCTCGAAAGATTCCTTTTTTCTTCGTATTTTTTTTCGAACGATGCTTTCCTTTTATCAGCCCGCCAAACACCCCCGACGCCATTTCGTTGGTTTTCTTGATTTATCGCGAAGTTTTTCAGCTTTCCGTTGATAATGGATCACTTGAAGCTAAAAAAAGATAATTTTTAGGTAGTTTGAAAGCTCTAAGAAGGTAGAAAAAAGCAAATCAGCCTTAGGAACTCCAGAGCGATCTCTCTAGGGACAACCTTCAGGGTCCTTAAATGTTTCCCTCTAAGAAACAATAAACCTTATGAAAGTGGCTCCTATAGCGGATGTTTCCTCTTACCCCTATAGGGACCACTCTGGCGTTCTTAAGAAAGTTTATAACCATGTCATTCGAATTCAGAGGCTCTTCATTTATCCAAAAATTTGGGCATTTCGTACTATTTTCTGCTTGAAGGAGGAGAACTTCAGAACAAAGTTTCAAGCTTTAAAATCAGGATCAAAACTTTTCAGGCGTTCAAGAGTGTAACTATGAAAAAATTGACCATTTAGGCGACTTCGAAGTCGAAAGGACGCGACGCGACATCGCCGTCGGAGCCGAGACAAGCCGAGGATTATGACGACGACACTTTGTCGTACCGGTCGATCGTTCTGGAGGAATGCTCTCCACAGGCTTCCCACGACCTCGACGCTCTTGATGTTCGTCTTCTTTTTTGGATCAGGAGGGAGAAAACTTCTCTCAAAGCCGTTCACGTTGCGTGAATTTTTACGCGGTTTCTCGGAAAGATTCTAGAAAATTTTTCTGAACCTCTTCAAACCCCTTTTGAGCGAGCTTCTTTCTCTGCAAAAAGAACGTACACCAAACTTCGTTTCAATACCTTTTTGCGGCTTGATGAAGCAAGTTAAATAAAAGCTGTTTACGGTAGCTTCACTTTTGCTGTGCTTTTAAAACGGGAAGTCCTCGATTTTTTTTTCTGAATCTGTCATGCTGCTCGTAACGATTATATAGCTGATTCAAGGCTGGCTTGAGCCATCGAAAAAAGGTCCTGACACGATCAGAAAAGAGAGTGCTTTGTTGGTGGAGAGCGCAGACAGGCTATGCTTTTGAGCCATATGCTAGGCATAAATGGGCTATAAACATTTTTTACGGATTCTTCATGTCAAGCAGTAAGCTCCGCCCCCATGGCTACTGTATCTTTCGCGTCGGAATCATACCAGACCTGACTGCATTTTTTGATTTTCTCAAGATTTTAGGTCAGAATAAGATTTAAAAAAATGTAGAGCTATCAGAAAAATCATCGTCGTACGATTATATTAATATATTTTATTCTTATATTTTCGAAATTTGAATTTTTTTCAGAACTGGGACTTCACCAATTCCTTTCTGGCCGACATCGATTCGGGACATTCTTGGAATGACACGATCCAACGGCAACACTTCGGGCCGTTGTCCGATTTGCTGACGTCTGGCGGAGAGTCCAAAGCCAAAACTCACTCTTTTCAGTGCGTTTTATTTTTTTTATAAAAATGAAAAGTGAAGGAAAAACGGCTGATTCCGCGTCAGCTTGTCACGATTTTCATTTTTCTTGGAGCTTCAGAACCTTTTTTTTGAAGTTTCCTTTCGATACTTGTGACCTGCCTGTGTACATGCGCCTCTAATATAAAAAAACTTGAAGCCAAATAAAAAGGGGCATGCAAAGAGGTCGGCCGCGGGCGTCAAGGGGGAGCTTCTCGGAAGGGTTGGACGAAAAAAATTGCGACAAGTTGGTGTGGAATGAACTATAAACTTTCACACGATTTTTTTAGAAATAAAAAAATTTTTAATTTTTTTCACTTTTCCTATAAATATTTTAGGCCCGTAAATCTGTTGCATCCGACTTGGTGCGACAAGTGTGGGGACTTCATCTGGGGGATTTTGAAGCAGGCGATCAAGTGTCAAAGTTTGTATTTATCATAATTTTTTAATCGTTTTTTTCCATTTGAAGATTGCAACTACACCTGCCACGAGCGGTGTCGAGAATTGGTGACGCTGGACTGCAGATCGGCCGGATCTTCATTGGCGTCTGGAGAATTCGCCTCTTTGTATCCGCCATTGCCTGATGGAACATTAGGTCTTTTTTTAATTTTTTTCAGTGAATATAATAATTATTTTTCATTAATAATAAGTCATTTATTTTTGTTGTATGAGTCAGATATAATCGACTGGGAGGTGAAAAAAAAAGTTTTTGAAGCTATAAATGACGATAGCGCGTAATCCATCCAGTTGCGCCTTGAAAAGGTCAGTATGTACACTAAGAATAACTGACGAGATAAACGCGAGCTCGGTGGCGGTACATTGACTTACTCGCAAAAATGTCGCTTTTTTCTAGGCGCGATCCCGCATTTCTCTCGGCGCGACCTCGCATTTTTCTCGGCGCCATCTCGCATTTATCTTGCATTTCGGAAATTTTCAAATTGCGAGAGAAATGCGAGCTCGCGCCTAGAAAAGTGCGAGCTGGCGCCCAGAAAAATGCGAGACCGGCGCGAGAAAAAAAGCGAGATGTTTGCGAGCTCGTCAATGTACCGCCAGTGTCTCGCGTTTATCTCGGCAGTTATTCTTAGTGTAGTGAGGGTTGTAGCTGGAGCCCTGAAAGCGTTCTCTAGGAGGAAGCCTCAGAATGAGAGCGACCTCTTCGAGTGAAGACTTTACACAGAATTTAGTTAGCCTTATTTGTATTCGAAAGAAAAACATTTTTAGTGCTTTTCATTAGTTTTCTCTGCTTTTTAAATTTTGATTTCGTACAAAAACTATTCCTATGTTCCTCCTTTAGCTTCATACGAAAGCATTCCGATTTTGACAGCTCACGATTCTTTGTGAGCTGTCGAAAAATTTTATAGTTCAATCTAGAGCTACACTCTATAACGCAAAGCGATTTTCAGGCACGATACCAAAAGGTTTGATCCTCCCGAACTCGCCAAGTCGAAGCAATACCGATTCGGACAAGGAAAACGGCAGCGTACCGCCTCCAGTTCATCATGCTGAAGTAAGAATTTTGTAGAAATAGAAAAAGTGTTTTAAAAAAAATACGGATTTCGTGATATTGAGAAGAAACTTGAAATTCTGTTCTTCCTTCTCAAAACGTCCTTTCTTGAGGTTTTCCTTGAAGAATGTTGGAAAAATTTCTGATTTGCTTAATTTTCATTGATTCTGCACTAATTCCAGACTTCTTCGAAATGAAAAAAGGCTTTTGAACTTTTGAATTTTGATTTTTCTTGACTTTTCCTTAATTTTTACGGTCCATGTTACCAGTTATTTGCGTTCCCAACCTTTTTTCGAGGATTTAAAATAGATAGTTTTAGAATTTAAAGGCGCATGGACAGCTTTATAAACAATACTCTAACACTTTTTTTGAACGAATATTCGCGACTTGAAAATTTTCGAATGTATAAACTATGGCGTTTTCATCGGACAAAACGAAAATTGCTTCGAAACGCAAAAAAGTTGCTACAAAACAAAAATTAGTGCTGCTTTGGAGCAACTTTGGCACGCCGATGAACACGATTTTTCGTTTTGAAGCATGTTCCGTTTCAGCGATGAACACGCCACTAAAGTTTCACGAAAATGCCATCCCAATATTTTTTTAAAAAGTACCTTCTCCACTTCAGAACCCACTATTCTCACCGACGAAGCAGTTCAACTCCTTCACACTACCCAAGTCTTTCGCCCCGCTAGATAGTCCCAACGATGATCATGTACCTAAATTCGTGCAGGCGCCCTCTGGAACGGTACATTTCCGATACTATTCATTTCATACTGAAAAAATGGATTTTCAGACGCTCCGAGTTGTGGAGCGATACGTCAAGGAGGACACTCCATTTGAATGGACCCCGGAATATAAAGTCCAAGATTTGGTCAGCACAATCGACGCCTACAATGCCAATGCCAGAGGCTTCGAGATCACTTTGGTGAGTTTTGAGTGAAAAATGAGGATAATTGCGTTTTTTTGACGCGTCCATATTTTTCCGTAAAGTCTAGTGTGTCGTGTGCATGCACTGCGGCGCTCTCCCACATACCGTGTTTGAAGTAATTCTTGTGAAATTCAAAATCATCTCTGAACTTCCGAAATTCAGTTATGTTTTTTTCACTTTCTGGCGGCTCTTTTTGAATTTCGCGGAATCACTTCGAGCACGGAAAAAAATTTTTTTAAAAAAACGTTTTTAGAAGAGAAGTCGTCTCATGACTATGAAAGTTATGTATCAATTTGACAAGCCAAATAAATATTTTGGTATTATTTTTATATTATAGATTAGAAAAAAATTTTTTTTCAGCCAAAAAAAGAGTTTTCAAAAAGAGTGAGTCATAAGAAATTTCTTGATTTTGTGATAAATTGACCTATTTTTTCATGAAAATTTAACAGAGTCAATGATCTTATGTCCCCTGAATGCCTAATGTGTTCCTTAAAATATCAAAATTTAACAGAAACTTTCAGTTTTGCTCCTGCTTTCGTACGCAATAGTTAAGATGAAACAAAGTTCTAAGAAGAGCTTCTTTTCTGACGATTTTTTCAAGAAAGATACGTTTTCAAAAGCCTATCAGGCGGGTGAATAAGCATTTGTTAAATTGACAAAAATATTGTTCGAATAGTTTTTGAAAATTTTCAACATTCTATGAAGCTCTCAATATTTTAATTTTCCAGCTGGAAGACGGCGAAACGTACCACGGCCATCTGCAAATCCACATGAACTTTGCCCGACCCATAAGCGTTGTACAGGGCGAGAAGCCTCCGACAGTCTACGACGTCGTCAACACCGGTAGGTCTACTTTTCCACGCGGTCCGAAGTTAGCTCCGGTCTCCATGCGCCAGACTCGCGCCCGGTTTACGCGCTAATAGGAAAATGATTGGGAGCAGACGGCTGCTTTAACCTCAGTAACACAACTAACAGAATCCGGACGTGCCCGCGACGTTCCTGAGTTCTAGTGAGCTCTTTAGCGACTCCAGCTCTCTTAAGTGATTGCTGGAAACGTGCGGAGCTTTACCGAGGTCCGAATGAAGGAATGAAACTTCATGTAAAATTTCTCAACCCCGCTTGAGCCTCAAACCTTGAGATCGGGGGCGGAAGGAGTAAAAGTCGGAAATTCCAATATAGGCAAAAAAAATATGGTTTTAAACCTACAAAAATGGAATAACCTTCCAAATAAGTCTTTATTGAGATCAAAAACCCGTGGGGAAATTGATTTGAAAGTGAATTTCGAGTTGATTTTCACGAAAGGGAGGCGCGAGATCCGCGGATCGAAGCCCGACGGGCGCCAGGAAGAGAATAGCGTGGCGGAATCGCCGATTCTGGAATATATTTTGATGAGAAGATTTTTGAAAGGGAGTTGAAAGGTGTTAGAAGCGGTTGGAAATTGAAAATAAATTGGTGTCTAATTTCAGATTTTTTTTAAGATCTTTAGTTTTCTGTTGGTTTGATAAGAACTAACCGCTGATCTTCTTCTCGATCATTTCTCGCCGCAGACGACTCGATCTGTTCTCCAATGGCGTTTCGTTAGTGCCTGGACGTGGGGTGAACCGATCGAGACGGGTGACGCTTGAAGCTCGGGACGTGGGCTGAAAGATTCTATTATTTTAAACAGAAGATCATCAGAAGTTTGGGAAAAATTTTTAGGAGTTTAATAATATTATTTATTTACAGGCAGAACAAAATAACATGTACAGAAAAAAGAGAGAAAAAAATTGGCATTAAGCCTGAAATAAATTAATAAAAGGCACTTGAGGCCCTCACCAGCCTCTGAGCCAGTAATGAAAGAATAAGAGGTGAGGATTGCACAAGGGTAAAAAAAGTACACAAGGTGAAAAAAAAGTAGTTTGGTTGAAAATGTGTACCTTTTCGAGCAAAACGTGACCAAGAATGGAGGAAACTTGAAAAAGTGGTCTTAAAAAAATTATGAAAAATCAAGTTTTAAGATGGAAAGGTGCTAATCTTTTTCGAGTTCACAGAAACTATAAAAATTGAGTTAGGCGGTGTTTTCGAATTTTTATAAGAGGGGATATAATGATGTCTTTAATAAATAAATTAACATACCGTGCTCAGAACGGGATTCCGACCATAGAGGCTACTTTGAGAAGCTGAAAAGAACTTAATGATAAGAATATTGATTGCGACTCACGATTTCTGCTCAAGCAGCGTCGGCTGCCCGACGGCGTCGCCGGCATCGAAGGAGCTCTTGGCTGAGCACTGCCGACGTTTGAACGGCGACGAGTCACGTAGCGACTCCTGTTCATCAATTTTTCATAGTTCGAGCTTCATTTTTTCTGATCTTACCGGTTGATCTCATTATTGCGATCAGCGTCGTCAAGGTCCACGGCGACGCATCTGTTCTGCGAAACCTTGGTCGGGATTTTTGAGGGCGAGCGGCCGGATTCCTGAAAGCTTGAGGGTAGTCTGATGATGAGAGAAGGCTCCTGATGTAGAAAATTGAACACTATATTTAGGACTATTCTTGTTTCCATGTCTTCTTTGGCAAGGGAAAAGATGGCGCAGACAAGTCAAACTGAATGATTTTCCCGACGTAACTTTTCTAGAACTGATCTACATAACCTCAAAATTTGCTCTAGTTTCAAATAGTTGTCTCATCTATCTGGATTAATTTACCTTAGCAAAGAGAATTCTCGGGAAATTTTCAGCTAGGTTCTCACCTGAGAAGCGATCGGAGACATCGGAACGATGGAGTTGAGTATGGATTTGCGCTGAGAACGGTGTTGCGGCGACGTTGCTTCGTACGGCGCCGGCGATTTTTCATAGCCTCGCAGGAGGGACTGCAATCAGGATTTTTTAAGAAACTTAATAGTCGACTCCCTTGAAAATGGACATGGTTGGCACGGTGTTCCGCGCAATGAAAAAAAATGCGAAATTTTGGGTCCAAGCGGCATATTATCCGTGGCGCATTATTGCACCCTTCTCATGGTTTCGGATGCAAAAAAATTGAATTTCTTCACTTTTTTTCATTGGTTTTTTTAATTTTTTTTCTATTTCTTGCATTTATGTGATCCGCCTCTCTATGGGTACATTTTGTGGAGCTTTAAATTGCGCATTTTTTTCTAAACCGGTTTCAGATCTTTAACTTTTTTTCTCAAAAAGAGCTGAAGATTTTTTTCTAAAAAGTCCTAATTTTTTTCAAAAATTTTGAAATCTGTTTCGCGCATGAAAAAGAGTCACTCTATTTCGGAAACTATAGTTTTTAATTTAATCAGTTAATAATAAAAAAGTTATTATCTAGTTCCTTTGACGTAGTTTGAAACCGGTTTCGTGTAAATTAGAGCCAAATTGAATTTGTTGATGCAGTTTAATGATTTTGATATATGAATCATCTAAATCATATATTTTTTCTAGTTTTTTGATGGTTTTTCGGATTTAAACAAAAATTTCGCCATACGAGGTTTTTTTTCTAAAATTTCTGCTTTCTAGGTGGTATGAAAAAAACACCAGCGAAAATTTAAACGGCGACTTTTCCGATTTTTTCATATCGCTAGGGAACTTTCCGACGGCCACCTTTCCGACGAATCTTTTTCCGACTTTTTTTCTCGTTAAAATCTTCGTGTTAAATCTTCCTATATAAAGTAGGTAGTTGGTTAATGATTAAAAACACAAAGAAAAAAAGAAAAACAATGTTTATAAATGTTTTATAAACCGAAAAACTTAAGGGAAAAAAGTCGGAAAGGGATCCGTCGGAAAGGTGGCCGTCGGAAAGTTCCCTAGCGATAGGAAAAAATCGGAAAAGTCGCCGTTTGAGTTTTCGCTGGTGGTTTTTTCATACCACCGCTTTCTATCCATTATTTGTTTTTCTGAAGCTAGGTTTTCGAGGTATATAAAATGTTTTTTTTTTCATTTGCTCCTCGAATTTTCCTCATTTCAATATTTTTCGTATTTATAAATGCTCATTCAATGGGAGCTGATTCACCTTCATATTATTTTTTGTTTTTATTTTGTAATCAGTAATTTAGAGTTTTCCCCTTTCGAAATCGTTCCTAAATGTTTTTTAACGTAAGGGAATGTTTTTTTCACATCATATTCTTCAAACTGACAAATTTCGAACATTTCAGGAGTTATTATCCTGAAATCGCAAATTATAAAATTGAAAAAAAAACATTTTGAGTATGCGATAGTGCGTCTCGGTGTGCTTACACCCTAAGCATCATAATTTACGAAAAGTCTTGACCTTGCGTAATGAAAAAAACACCGTGTTGGAGCTTCTTTATGGCAACTTTTTTCGAGCTTGTGGAACGTCTGAGACTCGTTCGAAAAGTGTTGGCTTGGCAGGCCAGGTGGTCCTAAGCTAAGAAACCAAAAAAAAAATTTGATTCTAAAGTCCTCTTCTTTAAAACTACCTAATACGATTCTTCGGATCAGATCTGCAACTACTGACACCATGCTAGTCTGACGGCGGATTTTCGAACTTTAAGCGGCATTTACTTTTTTCTTAGGCCTTTTCGGCAGTTTTGGAATACTGATTTTGAATAAGCATTAAACGTTGCAGATCAGATCATTTGAAACCAAAAATGTGAAGTTTTTTCTTTCAAAAGTGTGTATTCTGATAGATGCTAGACTTTATCCAACCTCAAAAGCTTGGTTCCCAAGTGGGGAGAAAGTCTCGACGGACGGATGGCTCTGGGCGAGGACACGTCTCAGGTCCTCCTCTTTCTCGATACCCATCTTGGTCATGAGGGTCTTGGCGACATGCACGACGAAGGCTCTTTCCAAATGGTCTAGACACGAGCGGAGAGCGTCGCAGGCCTTTAAGTTTTTGGAATAAATGAAGTTAGAAATGAAGGAGAGCAGCGTGGTTTTATTATGGCGTGTTCAACGGAAGAAAAGAGGCTTCTTTTCAGAAAATCAATAAAATTCAGTAGTTTTGGCTAATGAACACTATTTTGCTTTTCGAAACATGAACCGTTTCTGATAAACTGTACCTCATCTGGCTGAGCATCTTGAGTTGGATTGGCAGAGGAGGGAGGATTTTTCGCCCATTCCCGTGCCTGGAAATTGAAATTAATTATTTTATCTTGAAAATATTGAACTTCAAGGGTCAAATGTCTTCATTTTTTTTTTAAATTCCGCGATTTCCTGATCTCTGAAGTGCCCTTCTTCAGGAAATTTGGGACAAAGGAAATCCTTCGGAAAGAAAAAATCTCACTTGAAAGACCAATTCGCTCATTTCGGTGTTCAAATTGGACGTATCATCCTCAAGTTCCATTTCTTTTCCGCGCTGAAATCTTCAATTTGAATAAATTGAAATATTGAAAAAATACTGTAATCGGGGCAGCATTTGAAATGGCTCAAGGCGATCAAAGTTTGGATTTTAAATATCTTTCTTTTGAATTTCACGCGGTAAGACATTTCCGATGCGACCTTTGAAATAAAATCGATTTGAGGTAAAAAGTGTTCTAGGAACGTTAAAACCTCTTTTCTGCACATTTACGTTGGTTTTTCAATCATTTGTACCTAATACTGCTGCAAATAAAGCTGTAGTTCATTTCCGGTGGGTCTTGAAACGATCAACGAAATAGTGTACAAAAATAAGAGGTTCAGACGTCAATAAGTTAGCGATTAATAGATTATATGAAATGCTACAAAGAAATGCCTACCTAGAATGCGAAGAGCAACTTATTGAAAGGAATATGATGAATAGAAATAGTCAGACGTCACGGTGAATAATCTTTTTCAGGAAAATCCTCGGCTACAACTTTGAGGACGATCACGTCGTTTTTCCTCCCACGCAACACTGTCAAGACGATCAATATTAATAGTAAAACGACTAGTCGGTGGGTCTTTGGAAAATTAGAGAAAAAGAGGATCTGAGGAAAGTTGATAGTTTAATATGAACCACTAAAAAGAACAGCTTGGACTTCTTTTAACAAATGTTTTACGAAAGTTCAAAAAAAATTATAGAAAAAGTTTTCGTAGTGGTACTAGGGATCTCTAGGCTTCAACTAGAGATTTTTAATCAGAGTTAAAAAGGATATAAGGAAAAGATAGATAGCTTGATATGAACCTTTAAAAAAAAATCGGACTATTTTTTTGACTTTTGTAGGAGAGACAAAAGTCTAGAAAAAGGTCCCTTCCGATGAGAATAAAAAGCGTAGAGATACTAAGAATCTGGAGGCTCAAAATAGGGTTTTTTTGTACCGAAAATGAAAACTGGACTTCTTTTAACAAGTTTTGTACGAGATTATGTTTGAAAGTTAAGAAATAGGGAAGAAAACTAGGAATAGGGAGAATTCAACTAGAATCGAGTCCGCAGCAAAACGATAAGCTTTAAAGAAAAAAACAAGAGCTTCATATAAAAACTGGGAAAGTCGCATATTTCTCATTCAAAAAATTACATTTGGGTCCTGTGAGCTCCAAAAATGAAAAGAAAATTTGAAGAGTCACTAAACTTCAACTAGAGGAATAGTGATTCGACTGCGTAATTACGGCTCGACACGAAAATGTGGAACACTTGAAGTAATGGAATGCTAATTTTCCTCGTCGATTGGGTTTTTGATTAGTTGGTAGTACGAAGAGATCATGAATTGCTGAATTCGAAAATTGTTGAAAATTTTATAAAATGGAAGTTTCTTTTGTGTTTGGGTCATATTTCACTTTTCATCAAAATTATTACAACTGGGAAAATGTCAATTTAAAAATTGAAGGCTCATTTTTTGCACACTTTTGCGCTCTGCCGATAAATTTCAAAATTTATCAAGAAATCGACCATTCCTATCACTCTTTTTTAATGTCGTGTTCGAAATAATTTCCGCATTATTCAAAATTATGATTCTTCAAAATTAAGTTATCTTATTTATTCTCTGACACCTGTTTCGAAACTACGATTTTTTCACTATTGAGCTCTACAGATAAGTTTTGAAGTTTTTATTTATATTCCGGGTTTAATCAATGAGCCTGAAAAAGTTCCGAAGCCGATTCATTCAAAAACCTTGACAGAACTTTCCAAGGACCACATTCCACTTGAGGAATTTATTCGAACTAATTCCATTTTTGCGTGGCTCCCTTTGTTGATTCTCGACGCATGGAAGCAGATAGGATTACATTATGCGGTCTCGCGTTATTTGCGCCGAATCTCATTTTGACTCCTCTTCCACTCGAAATTACTCTTCGCGCTAATATTCATGAAAGGACGGCTTATCAGATCCGCTTCGGGCCGATTTGATGTTGATTGGAAGGGATTTTATCTGTTTGGGAGATCTAGAAGTTTATAGAAGGGTGGGAAATAAGCAAAAAGCTGTTTTTGAACTTTCAAAGTTTATCTGAAAATTTGGTAAAGTTGACGATTTTCTGTCGATTGAGTTCATTTCAGTAGCTTTTGTAAAAATTAATTGTTCTTTTCAGTTCTGAAATATCCACTATTTTAAATTTCAAAAGACAAAAACTATTTTTTTTTTACAAGCCTGTGATAAATATTTGAATAGGAACTTTTCTATGAAGCTTCTTTTCTACCAAAAATCCCGGCTTAAAATTTAAATATAACGGGTTTTTTATTACTAAATTTGTACTAAATTTCAATTTTTTTATTCAAAAAAGAACAAGCTCCACTAGAAGCAGAAAGCTTTAGCAGAAGACAACAAGTTTATCAAAAAAAGGATGTTTGATTCCAGAGGTCATCAAGTTAGATGGCTTGTAAGAAAAATCAATATTCTCTTCAAAAAACAAGCTACTGAATCATAATATCTCACGGGAGAAGACCTAAAAAAGAAGGTGTGGAAATTCTACACCTCACTATTTTCTGTTGACGAAAACAACAATTAATTGAGAATGAACTGGAATTTGCAGGCAGATGATCGTGACGCTGCTGCGGAAGTTCCGAGTCGCGGACAACCCGCGGAAGTTCGCTCTATACGAATGTGTCCATCAAGCCGATGAAACCACCTGCACACTTTTACGTGAGGATTTTCTGTTTTCGAAGTTGTAATTAGTTCATTCGTGGGCAAGTACAGAACTCAACTGGTCCAGGAGGAAGGGTTAACTTTTAAAATTTTTGAAAAACTAGGTAGAAAAGTTAGTTTTAAGCCCAGGGAGGCGGTGTCGACGAAAATAAACCTAAAGATTGCCCTTAATTTTAGCCTCAAGATATTATATCATGGCATTTTGAAATGCAAAATTATATACTTGCGCGAAATGGTCACGTTTTTACTTTAATTATAGTTGAAAAAGGCTACTGTATACACAGGTTTCGCTTCAAGATCTGTAAATTAATATTAGGATTTTTTGGACACATAGGCGAATTCGGAAAGAGTGGAAAAAGGCTTCATAGAAATGTTCTTTTTTTGCTGCTTTTTTGCGCCATTTTCTCGGTCCTTGTGCACCATTTTTGCTGCCTCTCGCTATGTCCACCATTTCTAGAGCCTTTAAAATCCCAGAAAAAATGGAAGGCTCGATAAAGGGACTCTCTTTACTGCATTTCTGCGGCCTTTTTTGAGCCTTTTCCTTCTCACGGTGTTTCTTTTGCGACGCCCCGCCCACTTTTCTCCGTCAATTAGGACGTGTTTAGGGCATGCACAAAAAATTTGGAAAATAAGGTTAACCGATGATATAAGTGTGAGAAGCGAATGAACATTGAAGAAAAAAGACGAGGAAATTAAAAGAGATTAAATAAAACTATATTGCTGTGGAGAAACAAATAAAAATATGTTTTACAGCAAGTACTTTTTTTATTATAAAAAAGTTGACGGAATATCCGGATATAAATGAGTTCCGGAACATACTTTCTCAACTTCACAGACTTTTTTCATGTAACTTCATCTCATTGATGTCCACAACCTAGGAATCTGAACAATCGACAAAAAAATAGAATGACAAAAACATAAAATGGGGTGAAACATGTTCCATACAAACAGGTGGAGATTTTTCAAAAACGCTTCTTCATCACGAGTTTTTAAAGTTAGCCTCACAGAACTACTTTCAAAAAAACGTCTAACAACCCAGAGTATACCCCGATCGTGGTCCCGCAATACTATCAGCAATCTACGAAAAGAAAAAGTGAAAAAATATGAAAAAATTCACAAAAAATCAAAAATAAAGCCACTTTTTCAAATTTCGCGGGCGAATTTCGAGAAGTGCGCAGACTTTGCCGAGTTTCAAATTCCTTGCATTTTCTTCAACTGGCAGAAACGCCGTGTTCTAGCGGCCACCATTTCTTTTGTATTAACCTCAGGCATTTCCTAATTTGAAATTCTTTGATGACTGTGAGGAGAAATAAACTTTTATTAGCCTTTATAGGAGTTTCAAAGGCTTAGTGGTCCTTTTAGAGGTTTTCGTTTTTTCAACAAAAAAAAAATCATTTATAGCTCGTTTTTTACCTGAATGGTCACTATTCAATCTTTTTATGTACTTTTATGAACTTTGACATCATTGGAATCCTGAAAATTTTCTGAATTTTGACCATTTTTAGGAGCAGGAAACACAAAAAATCAATTCATAAAGCCTACATTTCTCATTTCTTCAATTTTCTATCCAAAAGTCCTCGATTCGAACTCGTCTTTTGTCATTTTTTGAACCAAATTTCGCATTTCCGGTCCCCTAAAGAATTGATTTTCCCCTCTTTTTGGACTTGTTGAAAGCAAGGTGGCGTAAAATTCATGGCTTTGTGAAGTTCCTTTTTCTTTCTTTCTTGAAATCCACTGCGTACCTATTTTTAGCCTATTCTTTGGAGAATCTTCTGGAAAGGCGCTGGAATGGCTAGCTAGGAAAATAAATTTTTTGTACAAAATTGGGAAAAAAAGTTTCATTATTGATAACGAGTTTTGCGCGGGAAAAAAATTACTGAGCCATTGAAAAAAATAAATATCAAAGTTTCAAACAAAAAAATATTTTTTTAAGTATCCAAAAAAATGTAGAATAATGGCAGTGAATCGTAAAAAATGATTTATTTTGAAGCCTAGGAGCAAAATTAGCTTCGGCAAGCTTTGGGAATAGGCTAGAAGCTGAAGAAACTAGTTCTACTAGTAAAAAAAATGGATAGACGCTCAAAAAGAAGAAGAAAGAAGAAGAAGAAAATAAAGAATGAAGTAGGAAAAAACAATAAATTTTCGGCTATTGTGCAAAAATGGGCAAGAAAATTGGCTCAGCGAGCTTCTTGGAAAGAGGCTTGAGGCTTAAGAAAGTAGTATAATTTTTGAATTTGAGTTTTAAAAAAGTATCGGGAAAACTAATATATTTTTGGTTATTTTTCAAAATTCGTTATGTAGTGTTTTGGAAATTGGCCGGACGTTCTCTAATCTTTTTTTTATGAAACGAGGAAGAAAAATTTAGGCTTTAAAAGTGAAAAAGGAAGGAGAAAACAATGAATTTGTGGTCATCAGTTCGAAAATAGATCATAATTTTGTCTCGGATAGATTTTTGAAATGAGCTTGGAAGCTATAGGTACCAGTTCAAAAGTCGAATTTGAAAAAAATAAGAGAGCCCCAAAAGTAGAAGAAAGTGGAGGAAAACAATAAATTTCATCCATTTTGCAAATAAAATTGGCTCCGGCGAGCCCACCAGGTCTCTTTTCGGAAAGAGCTGGATGGAGAAGGGGCGGAGCCGACGAGAGCTCCGTTTTCGGCAGACGACGAAATTATAAGCGCACTCGCTGCACACGGCTCACATTAAATATGCATGTTGGGAGGGATTTTTGAGATGTTATGTACTTGGTCTGATACTGGAATAGACCGAAAAATATTCTAATTTAGCAAAGAAAAAAGCTTTTTTTGTTGGTATTTGTTTGGCTTCTGTAAGTGATTACAAAAGAGACCCGAACATCACTTAAGGGGTCACTTAGGGTCTTAGAACAGTTCTTCAGGTCTGACTTTTCAATGTTTGGTTTATGACGTCATAAAGAGAAAATATAGAGAGATTTCGAGATTTTACGTACTTCAGATCCTTCCAAAGTAGGCCAAAAAAAAAAGTGCATTTTACAGTATTTAAATTCAGCAAAGGTAAAGATTTTTTGGCTGTTCCAAGTTTATACAGTGGTTTAATTCGATTTTCAGTAATTAGACTTCATGCGCCCGACGTTGAAACGGCTTGCGCTTACGCGCATCAAAATTAGTTGAAATTGAGACTAAAAATTGAAATTTTAAAAATTTTCAAATCCGTTACCATTTTGAGGGAGTGTGCGCAGATGCGCGAAAGCTTAGGAAAAATTATTTTTTCATATTCAAAGTTTCATTTCAGCTATAACAGTTATTTTTGATGATTTATGGAACAAAAAAAAATATAAACATGTCATCAATGTTTTCTCATGCTGACCAGCTGTTCCAACGGGTGTACCCGTATTAAACCGGTGTTTTTTAGGCTATTTGAGTCTCTGTTGGGCTAAAAAAGGAAAATATCGGGTGAAAAAAAATAGATGACTCAGCTGTGTTTATTTCGAATATCTGTGACCCAACTGAGCCAAAACGGTGCCTCAGCTGCGGGAAAAGTTCTACCAACTGTGCTGATACGGGCTTAATACGGGACCACCCGTGTTGGGCAACCCTCATCAGCATGAGAGCTCATCTTTTTGGTTAATTCTATCAGAAACTCAAGATTTACCTTTTTCAGGAAAAATGACGAGGATATCGGACGACGTCTGTCCTCTGAAAGTTGTACTCGGCTGGAAAAACCCACATTGCGGAAACGCGCTCGTTTTGCAGGAAAACGACACCGGCGACATTTTGGTACATAAAAACGATGAATAGGCTTCTCAATGATTCATTCACTTGCAGTGGGACGCGTTCGAAATCCCCGAATTGGAGAACTTTTTGAGGATTTTGAAAATGGAGGAACAGCAGTACGTCTGGCAGACCAAGCAGAGATACTCACAGTACAGGTTTATCTGAGAAAAAAAAAATTATAACTGAAGTCTATAATATTTTAGATACAACATCGATGATGAGCTCCGACGAAGAGGCCACTACGTCGGTGATGAATCGGGGAAACCGCCTCAGGAATTCGCCCCGTCGGCTCCGGTAATTAATTAATAAGGCTACAAAGAGGATAAATTTGGATCTGAAATAGCTTTTTGAGTGATAGGAGTGCACTAAAATTTTAGCTTAAGGTCGCTTGAAATGGAAAAAAATATGTGTTTCTTGGCAGGAATCGAGCCACCGACCTTCCGAGCGATAATAATAGAATTTGAAAGTCATAATGAAGCTACAGTAGAAACTTATGGCTACTACCAGCTTTCAAATATGGCAAAAAAATCCTTCATAGAAGTCGAACCAGCGACCTTTTTATTGTTAACGAAGATTTTCTAGCACTTTTTTTACTTGGATCATGACTGTATAGCTAACTTGATCCTTTGAAAAAGGGCAAAAAGTTTTTCATCGACAGGATTTGAACCAACGACCTTTTGAGTTACTAAGAAGATTTTTTGAGAGCGATGAAGAACTACTAGAGATTTTGATGACTACTATGAGCCTTCAAAAATGGCAAAAAAGTTTTCGCTCCTATGAGGTGTCGAACCGGTGACCCTCTGGTGATAAGCAAAAGTTTTTTATGGCCTTTATGGGCTTCAGTCACGATGTGTGGCAAAAAAAAACTTGAAAATGAGTGATTGGGACAGAAATTGACTCAATGATTTTTTCGGCGTGCAAGAAGAGCCTCAAGTGTTAAATTCAAGCTTCAAATTTCGTTTTCTACGTCTTATAAACGTTTTCCAGTCCCGCGACGGCGGCGAGTACGGTACCAGTGACAGTATGGTCATTTCGGACGTCTTCGCGACGATGAAGCCGTCAAATCCCCATCCACAGCAGTTCCACGACCCCGAATACGTCAATCTCGAGTTTCTACAGAACCGACAGATGGATCATTCCACGAACTTGTAGCTGAACATCGTTTTCTTGATCGGAGTGATTAGTATTGTATTCAGTGCTGAAAAGAGATGAAAAACCACTTTTTTGACTTTTTCAATTTTTTCTTCTGAAAAAGAAGGAAATAGTCGAAAAATTCCTTCTAAATGAATTCACCTTTGATTTTCTCATAATAAGGCCTTTTTTGTCGTGAACCAGCTATGAAATGCGGAGAACGTCACAAATTTAACATTTCGCTCAATTTTCCCACTCCATGGTCGCATGGGGAATGGCTTAAAGCGTCGCGTTGCGGGTTCTTTCTGATACGCTAGAGCGCAAACCGCTTCAGGTCGGGTGGATCGAAACGCAACCCCGAAGCTTCGAGCCATTTCCCTTGCGACCAAGCATTTGGTCTTTCCTTTTTCAAAATAAAAAGATACATTCTTGAATAATCTCGCAATGATTTTGTAGAAAAGAGAGAATTCCCCAAATTGTTTCCTCATTTTAGCTCTTTGTTCCTCATGTTACGGTCACTGTGCATTCGTGTCGAATTTCTCTCTTCACTTGTCTTTTCTCAAATTATTCACCCCCCAACGAAATTGATCAAAACTTTGAAGATTGTGATTTTTTTCTAACTGTAGTTATAACGAGAAGAAACCACTACGGTGCTTATGGCATGTTTTTTTTTAAATACTGTCCTGCCTCACATCAGTTCTTTGTACATTTGTTGGTTGAATAAAGTTTTTCCTAAATTCATTAAATAATTATTCAGGAAGCCTGGAGTATCCTGATTTTGTTACTTTTTTTCATTTTATTCAGAAAAAAATCTTTCTTGGTTATTTTCAATAGAAATCAGTCAGAGTCGGGAAATCAGCTCGAAAAAAATGTTATCACAAATTTTTTTAAGTTCGAAAAAAATTCAAAAGAAATCTTTCATTTTCAAACTTTTTTTAAACATTTTGTTTCTTCAATCTTCAATGCTCTAAAAAAATGAGCAAAAAAATCGTCTTTTTCTTGTCTTTTTGCCAATGTAAGTATATTATTTTCAGAACTGATCCTTTAAGAAAAAAACGAAAAAATCATGAAAAAGGATTTTTTTGACATCCGTAAATTTGTCTGAACACTGAAACCTCAGTAAGGTGGGTAAATGAGAACAAAAAAGGCCTTTTTTGAGAAAAAAGGAAAAAAAAATCGGCTATTTCAATTTAGGGCTCAAGAAAGTTGGTAATAATTGTTAGAAATTTTTTTGAGTTAACATAAAAAAATGGTAAAATTCACACACTAAAAAAATTCACTTATAACTAGCTTCTATATTTATTAAATATACGAATTTTTTTCCGCTCTCTAAAAAAATATAGACAACAGAAATGATCAAAAAAGGCTAGTTTTCTGTTGAGATGTTACAAAAATAAATAAACAAGCTTCATTTTCCTTCACCACACCCAAAAATAAATAATTTCAAGTAACTGTACAGTACATATCCATAATTACATACAATTTCTTCCAATTATAGTTCAAAAAGTTATCCCTTGAGTGGAATTTCCTGTCCGCCATTGGCGCATCGGGAACACATACAAGTCGGCCTTCCGCTTCTCTTTTTACAGTAACCAGTTCCGCAGTTCTGAAACAAAAATTGTAGGGTGATTTTGATTCATTTCAAAATTTTTTGTTTGAAATTCGCGTTCTTTGCTTTCTTCTCGGAAGTTATGAAATTTTATGGAGGTGTAAACATTTTTTTAAGATGCTATAAAAAAGATAAAGAGGAAATGTATGAAAGAGATCAGATGAGATCAAGTTCAAAAGTTCATTTTTTGTGATAGATATTTTTTAGAAGTCGTTTCAGAAGTTCCAGAATTTTTATATAGGTTTTTTATAGGGGAAAGCTCATTGTCATTAAAATTTCGAAAACTTAATTCTGCTGAAAAAGGTTTTTAATTTTTTAAAAAGAACTCGAACAAAATTTCATGAAAAGCCGTTTTCCGTACTACTTTTTGATCATGAAAGTTTTCAGGAAACCTAGAAAAGGTTTCTGGAACTGAGCATGCTTTAAGAATTACTTTGGAACCAAGGAAGTTTAGTTTCTAACTCAGAGAAACGATATTTTATTGATTTTTATTCAGAAATTAAGTTTAAAAATCGAAACATGTATTTTTAAAAATAATAATCTCCAGAATAAGCTCGAAAAGTTAACCTAGAGGTCCTTTTTGATTTCCTAAAAAAGTGTCAAAAGTTTCTCGGATCCTCCTTCTTTTTTTCCTTTTTTCCGCCTCCTTCTTTTCAAAAAAAGGTCAAGAAAAAAGGCGTTTTTTTCCAAAAGTTCTTTTTGAGACCTTTTTTATTTTGCCCATGATAGCACTTGATACTAGACAGCAGATTAAAAATTAACAAAAATCTGAAAACGTGAAACAATTTTGACAATTTTTCCCCATTTCTTAGGAGGTTTTCCAGTTTTGAGTGATGTAGAAGATACGATTCTCACCTGAAGATTGCAAGAAGCAATGCAAAGAGCCCGAGCGCCTTTGCTCAGAATCGGAACGTTCATCCTTGCACAAGTCGTTAGGTCGATCCCGGCCGAAACTTCGGAAAAGGCCGCCAAGGCGAGAATAGCCAAAATAGCCAGAGAAACCGATTTCATTCTACTATTTTTGATTTTTCCAAACGCCCCAGTTCAATTTATATCGTTTTTTTTTTCGCGAAAAAGGGGCGGCGCCTTTTTTTTTTTGAATTTGGCGAGAAATATCTGTTCTCTCCGTTCGATAACACGTGATGAGTCAGAGGAGATCAAAATATTAAACCGGTGATCAGGTCGGGGATTTTTTGGAGTGATGCCAATTTTTCACTCTTTCAATACACTACCAAAGTCGGAAGTGCGGAAACGGGTGCAAAAGTCTGCAGAATGGCGGCTAAAAGGGTTCCGTTTTGCGGCCTTTATTGAGCCTTTCTGTCTTGGGGCGCTGAAAAGCCTCAAAAAAGGGTGCAAAAAGGGTGCTGATAGTCTTTTTCATAGATGATTTTTTTTCATAAACAGTCACTGGTAAAGATTATTATCATTTAAAAAAATTTTCTGTTTCTTAAAAGGGTCCAAAAATGGCCACCCATTTAGAAAACCTTTTGATCCATAACGAACGCTCAAATGACCCGTAAAGGGTCCTTCCGAATCTGCCTATGCGTTATAAAAAAGTTAACTTCTTTCTGAAATACGGCAAAAATGTGACCAAACTACTTATGACATAACATATGCATTTTTCGATGCTTTAAACTCCGAGTTCGCGTAGAGAATGGCTTAACGCGTCGCGGTCGCGCTGCGACTTTTTTTTGGCGCGCCAGACCTCAAGCTACTTTCGCGCACAGCTATGGAAACAATATTCAGAATGTCCTTCTTAAACTGCATCGCGGCCGCGACGCTTCCAATCATTCCGAATGTGACCTTCTTACTTTTTAATTTAAATTGATTTTTTTATGAGTCTTTCAATTTTTGCAAGTTTGCTCGAAAGGCTGTATTAAAAATTTTTAATTCAAAAATGAATTATAAACGTTCCTTGAAACCTTCAGATCATTCACGGGGTTTTTAATATTTTTTTAGAACTTGTTCAGGCCTTCTGGAATGGTTTTAGGAATTATAAACTATTGAAAAAATGATTTATGAGCTTCTCGAATATTTTTTTGTCGAATTTAAGAGTGCTGGGAGAAATTCAAGGTTTTTATTGGAAAAAAATTGTAAGAAAAATAGTTTTTTTGATGATTTAGAGCATCTATGAGTTCATTAGTCATCTTTAAAACGATTTCAAAGCATTCTGAAATTTTTAAAGATTTCCAGGAGCTTTTGGACCTTCTACAGAAATTTCCGAATGATTTCAGGCCTTTTTGAACAACTCAAAAAGCCTCAAAGGAATTTCTTCATTGTGTCCGGAGAATCGGACCCGTATTTTTTTTTCGCTTTTTCAATGCCTTTTTTTTTTAGCTCTTTCTCCTGTTAAACCCATGATGACACATACTTGTTTTCTTCCCTTCGTGCAACAAAGTTCGGTCAATTCAAAAAAAAAAAAATGCTTTTCTGCAGATCCATTCTATTTTCATAGCTACAATATTTACAAAATTGAATACACCACGTGTTCTTTTGATTTGACCCTTTTTTAGAAAATTCTTTACGATTTATTTTTGATTCATTCAATAACACGGAAAAAACCCACGCCAGCTGTGTAAATTGAAGCCGGAAAAAGTGTGTTACAGCAATAGTTCTATTTTTTTGATAGAGTATATTTTTTTATAATTAGAAAAAGACATTTTTTTCCGGTAAAAAAATGTGAAAAACTACACACTAGAAACTTTGAAAAAAATAAAAAAAGAAGATTGCGATAAAACTGAAAAAAATTCGAGACAATTTAAAAAGTCTTTCAGGTCATATTTTTTTACACGAAATGAATGAAGTTTTTTTCTCTAAAAGTAACATTTTCAAAAAAATTTTTTTTTCATAGATTTCATAGTTCGAGAAATTTCGAAATGCGAACATTAAATTTTTTTCATTTGTCAGTCATTTTTTTTGGAAAAAATTAAAAAAGGAATTAAGTGAAAAAAATTGACATTTTGAAGCACTTTCTAACATTCCGACCTTAAGAATCTAAAAAAAGAGACGATCATAAAAAAAGTGTCCCGAATTTTCCAAACGTCGAAAGTATAAGGTTGGCACTAGAGCAGCTTTGTTTGTTTATGTTTTTTCGCTTCCAACGCAATTTCTGCGTTCGAGGTCTCTTCCACGTTGCACTCGCCGTTATATTCTTCATTTCTACAATTTAACTTTTGATATTTTGTTCAAAAATCCTTGCTGGCGGTTTAACAGTATTTTGTAACCTAAAATGACGCGGGAAATGCTTCTAGTTCCCATATTTTCATGAAATTTTTGTGATTTAAGAAAAAAAAACTTCAGCGAGGAAATTTGAAAAGACTGATTTTCAGGAATAAATTTTTTTGTTTTCCTTGGTTGAACTTTTTGATGAATTTCGGGTGAAGTTTTTCCCGGCTCCAAAACAAGACAAAAGCTTAATAGAACGCCTTTTTGTAATTTTCATGTTTAGATAACTGTTATAAGTGTTATAACTCAACTACAAGGCGAAATTCGAGATTTATTCGCTGAGGAATCAGGTAGCCCTAAAGTACCTTTCAGCCAAGTTTCAACAAAATTTCAAACCCGTGATAAAATAATTGCGATTTTTAGTAATTTTTTGAAATCATTTATTCAATTCAAAAGGTTATTTCTCTTGTTTTCAGTAAGGGAACCAGTCGGAATGAGCGCCAAGCTCTATTCGAGGCCCGGTGTTTTCGCGTGGAGCCCACGGGGCAACGATTCCAAGGTGGGATTTCAATAATTATTGTATTTTTTTTTTTCCTTAATCACTCTTTTTACTTTTAAAGGATCACGAGTAGGACTTTGAAAAGATCTCAGCCCAAAAAGCTAACGTTATTCAGTTTTTTTGAGGCTCTTATCCGATTTTTCTCAATATTTTTCAATTGGAATTACAAAGAAAAATGCATTTTAGTGTTTTAAACGATTTTTTGTACCTTGTAAAAACTTGGTTTTTTTAAATAGAGTTTTTTTGGCCTAATCGCCTTCAAAACACCCCGAAAATTTCGTTTCTACTTGATTAAAAAAATTTTTTTTTCTAGGTATTCCCTCGCTTTCTTCAGATTTTTTTACTCAGTATTTTGCAGATTTTGACTAGATTCATAAGCTCAGAAGTTATTTTTAATTCATTTATTTGTAAAAAAAAATCTTCCAATGGTATAGAAAATGTTTTTCCCAGATTTTTGAACCTTTTTTGAGCTTCACATAGAGCTTTTTCAGTTCATCCTCTTGAATTTATGAATTCAGGGCCTGATCGTTGCCGACTTTGCACAGTACTTTGACGCGAACGCCGGAAATGTACAGCCAAAGATCGAATTTCTGTCCTCTTCGGATCTTTTCGGCAAAGTCGAGCTCAGTCCGACCGCTTCGGTGAACACCAACTACAGGTAGGATGTTTTGGAAGTTTTATTGATGTTATTTGAAAAAAAAAAATCTGTTTTTGCGTTTAGGCAGAGTTGGACAGTAAAGAAAAATAAGAGAGATCTTTTAGACCCTGAAAGACCCAAAAAAAGACCTCAAAAAAATTAAAAAAACTATTTTTGTATGGGAAAGGTCAAAGAGAATGTGTTGAAAAAGGTTATGAAAGGTAAAAAAATGAATCAGAAAAAAATTTTTTTAAAAAGACTTTTTTTCAAACTTTTTGAGGTTTTTCCCAGACTTCTCCTTGTTTCTTTTCAACTATAAAGTATTTTTTTAAAGATTTTCTATGCGTTTAATTTTTTTATTTTTTTCATTTCTTATAAATGCGGTGAAAAAGTATCGAAAAACGGTTTTTCCCTTTTCGAGAAAATTATTTAATGAAAAAAAGATCTTTCTACACGTTTTAGGTATACTAAAAAAACTACGTAACTTCCTTTTTTTTTGAAGTTAGGTTATTTTTTGAAAAGGTTTCGCTTTTTGAAATTTGAGGAAAAAGATGGTTTTCGTAAAAATATTTGTTGGAGTTGTTTCTATTTTTTTCGGAGTTGTTTCTTTTGGAGTTGTGCCGTGTTTTAGAAAAGTATATATTTGAAAAAAAACATTTTTCATTATTTTCCATGTTCGATTTGAAGGTTCAACGAGCTCTGCTGGGCAAATTCTGGCGGCGACCAACATCTAGGCGGAATTGTAGCCGGTGGAACTGAAGACGGAACCGTCGTCTTTTTCGATGCTTTCGCTTTGATCAACGGTTTGTTTGAAGGAAAATTTAGAAACAATATTCTGAGCTGTTGTAAGTGTGTTAAGAAAAAAAGAAAAATCTCATTCTTCAAAAACGTAAATTGGAACAATCTTTCTATGCAAAAGAATTTATTAATGAAAATTTTTATGGGCTTTTCTAGGTTTTTTCAGCTCGTTTCAATACACTTGTGTTTTTGCCCCCTGTCTATACTATTTATTGATTTTTTTCTCGAGAAATTGGTTAAAGAGAAATTCAAAAAGTTTGCTAATTTTTTTAGTTTTTTTGATATGAAGTTTTGTATAAATGCAGCGAATTTCGAATACATCGGAACAATTTAACAGGAGAAAAAAGTTTTTTTTGATTTTAAGATTTTTTTCTGTGCTTTTGATCGGAAGATAAAGTTTATGTTTTTTCAAAAAAAATTCAGAACTTGAGGATTTTTCAGGTGCACTATTTCAGATCAAATCTTTCACATCAGAACAATACATCATTTTCAACAATTTTTATACAGTTCTGATCAATTTTTCTTTTTCCAGAATCGAAATTGGAAATAATTTCGGCAAGACGAGATCACCACGGCCACGTTTTGAGTGTCGATTCGTCGGCTGATGGAAGGTTGAAAATCACTATTTTTTTGAAAAAAAGCAGGGAAGAAACAGGATTTTTTTGACTGCTAGAAAGTTGAGAATGGTTCTCAAAATTTATTACAGAAAAAAATACTGAAAGGAATGAAAAAAATGGTCAAATATCCAAATTTTTAAGAACTGGTTCATTAATTTAACAATTTTCCTCAACTTTTTAAAAATTAAAAAAATTTAAAAAAATATTTGAAATTTCATTTCTAATTTTTTTCGATGTAGTGATTCCTTATAAGGAGTTAATTTTAAGAGAAAATTGATTGTGAACGTTTAAAAAAACAAATTATTTTCCAAAAAGTTCCGTCGAGCTTTCGATTTTTTTCTTTCTGTACGTTCTTATGGATTTTGGAAGATTTTATTTTTGAAAAAAATAATTTTTTTCGATTCATTCTCTGTGTTTTTTTGCAATTTTTTTAGTGTTGTCGATTTCTAAAATTTCTTGTCGAACAGCAGAAATTATAAGTTTTCATTTGAAGATGGGTAACTAGCGGCGCCGGTTCCGGACAGCTCTTATTATGGGATTTGGCGAATTTGGCATCTCCTTATTCGCCAGGAGTTGCCAATTTTCAGGATCAAGTAAGACTGAAGAAAAATATTGACAGTTTAAGTTTGACAATAGGTGAAAGTGATCCGTTGGTGTGGAAAGGTTGACACGATTTTCGCCTCGGCTTCGGCTCATCGCGTCAGTGTTTGGGACATCCGAAGACACGGGGCTCCGATTCTGGAGTTTGCTGAGGTTAATCGATCGGTTTCAGGGATTAGAGAGGTTCCAAAAATTAAAAAAAGAAGTTATATTCGTGGAAATTCCGAAGACATTTCGCTCTTCTTTTAGAGTTTGCTGAAGTAACTTGACGAAGTTCAGGGAAAAAAACACGGAACTTTTTAAGAAAGGCCAAAGATAACTATGTCTTTGAAAAATCCGGAGATATGAAACTCGGATTTCGGAGTTTTCTGAGTAAAATCGACCTGATTTCGCAAATTTTTGAACCGGTCATAAGAGAATCTAAAGAAAACTTTACATTTCAAATTCCGGAACCAAGAAGCTTCGATTTTGAACCTTCTTGTAGAGGTAAATCGATCGGTTTCAGGGTTTAGAGTAGTTCAAAAAAATATTTTTTTTAAATTTTCATATTTAGAAATTCAGAAGACATTTTGCTGATGTAAATTGACGAGGTAAGGGCGAAAAATCCCGGATTAAAAAAATCATGAAATTCGATGCTCGAAAAAAAGAGTTTATTTTTTTTGAAATTTTTTTCCTGACTCTCCAAATTTTAGTTGTTTTTTTCATTCTCGGACGGCTATTTTGAATTTCGTGGAATCAGTTTATTTTCTTCAAAAAAATTTTCACGATTTTGTGTCATTTCGGAAATGATGTTAAAGCTGAAAAAAATAAAAGAAAGAAATAAAGCTGAAAAAAATTAATAGGCTAGATGGCCAATTCTAACAAGTCAAACCAATATTTCGACGATTTCTTTTTCTTTTTCCAACTTTTCTTATTTGATAGAATCCCGGATGCGATTGGGCGACGCTGAGTTGGAATCCGAAAAATGCGAACACTTTGTTGGTCGGAAGCCAGTCGCAGACGAATCCCGTCATTCAGCTCTGGGATCTGCGATACGCGACTGCGCCCCTCAACGAATTCAGACTCCATCAGCGAGGAGTCACTTCTATCGATTGGTTTGTCAGATTTTTCATTTTCGAATGGGTAGAGCTGCCGACGAGGTGCCCCGGGGCGACCCGGAGTTGAAAAATGATTAAAAAAAATAGAAAAACAGGATCAAAAAATTAAGGAAAAAAATAACCTTTTCGATACAGCGGCTCTGGTGATGGGAAAATTTTAAATTTTTTTTTTCAATTTTTTCAAACTCAGACGTTATCTGGCCGTTGAGGAAGCGTACCAAAATGGTTAATTAAAGTTTGAAGTTTTGAAGGCTTAAAAAAGGGTAACTATCTAATATAATTTATAAGATTAGGGTTTATCATGATGGTTTTTGAAAGTTTTTCATCATGAATTTTTTCAAAAGGGTTTTTTTTTCTGCATTTTCATTTCTCTCTCTCTCTTTTTTAAAGGTAGAATTTAAATTTTTAGAATTAGTCTGCTCAGAAATTGAAGTCATCGCTCAAACTCCGCCCCTTATGCGTAGATCAAATCACAGAGAATTTTTGGGGGCAGAGTTTGCTGTTTGAAATGTAAAAAAAAGAAAAGACTATCAAAGTTGTTCTGACCGTGAAAAAAATAAAAATTTTTTTGAAAAATCATTTCAAAAAAAGTCTTCGGGCACGATCTTGTACTAGTTTGCTTTAAAACTAAATTAGGGAGCGTTTCTAAACATTTGAAGCTTGAAAGTCATTTTCTTCATTAATTTTATTTGTCAGGCACACGGCTGATGATCGCTTGGCCATGTCCGCCGGCTTGGATGGCCAGATTCTGATCTGGAATCCGGAGAATGGACAGGTGCTTCGAATTGTTACCTTTTTTCTGAATTTGTATTGATATTGACTGTTGTCATACATGTAGCTGATTCACGGCTAGCTTGGGACGCAAAGGGGCGTGGCCTGTCTGCGCTGCTTTTTTCGTGTCGGGACCTTTTTTTCGATGCTTCAAGCCAGGGGTCAAAAACGTTTCCTATTGAGCTTTAAAACCTTTTTTTGTCGTTATTTTCGTCGATTTCCGTAGGTCAAACCCTCCTTCTAGCCTAATTTAGTCCCTACACTTGCCCATGTAAGACTGTTGTAGATCCACGGAGGCCTCGGAAGCCTGCAAGGCGATTGGATCAAGGCGGTCCGCTGGAGCCGAGCTCAGCCGGCTCAACTCGCCGTTCAGTATTTCCGCCATCCGACCCAGATCTGCTCTCTGGATTCGCTCGGGACCCCGCAACAGGGGGTCAGTGGAGAGTTCAGAAAAAACGAACAAAAAAGAATTTTTAAATTCCTTTGTGAAAGCTTCTTATTATATTATAAAAAACAATTTTTTAATCATTTTTAAGAGTTTTTTTTTTTGAATTTTTTCTATATTTGTTAGTTGAAGCTTTTTTTTTATAAACTAAAAAAATAATATGTAGAGTTTTTTTTTGAACCTTCTTTTTAATTTTTGTACTGGGTTAGCTAAAAAAATCAAATTTTTTTCCGGAACAAGATCTTTTTGAAAAAGCATTTGAAAGCGGTAACCGAAGGCAGTTGCATTTTTTTGATTTTTTTACTGTAAAAAAATTTTTCTCGCTATTTTAAGAAGCCTATCTGGATACCTGAAAGCGCGCTTTGAACAAGACGCTAGAAAAATGATGGTATTTAAAAAATAAAAATCGAAAAAATGAATCATGAACTTTTTTTCGTTGTTCATCTTACTGAAATTTTGGTTCAGGCTTGGTAGTTTTTCGAAAATGAACTATTTTTCGAGGAAGCTTGTAGGAAATGACACGCTTTTAACGTTCACGTTACATTTTTTCGGCCAAGTTTAATTTTCTTTGAGATGCTATTCTGAAAAACCGTTTCTGCGATATTTCAAGAACACCTACCTGTATAAACCTGCAATAAAAAATTCGAAAAATAAAATCTGAGACTTTTTTTTGTTTTTCATTTTTTTAATGTAACTTTGAGTGAGTTTTACAATTTTTTTTCAAGATGGAAGTTCTTGCCCCGAAATTGTCGGAATCTCTGGTGCCTTCCTGGATTTCGGCTCCCACCGTTGGATCCTCCCTGGCTATGGGATGTCGTCATGTCACCCATTGGAGATCTTTTGATATTCCTTCTCAGAAATTTGTCTTCAATGTAGAGGTCGAAACGGTGAGAGCATTATAACTTTCACTTTCCAATAGTTTTTCGAATTTTTTCCGAACTGTGGAACGCCATAGTGTTCTCTATAGGGTTTAGGGAGAAAAAAGCCTCTATAGGAGTAAATTTTAGGTGGTCCCTTTAGGGGTCTTTTGTAGATTTGAAAAAAAAACTTGATAAATTGATCCTATTTTTTTTTGATTTAAGTCAAGCTATTTTATCGAATTTTTGCAATGAAATGCTATTTCTCATAGCATGTCCACTAGAGGGGCCACTAACTGAAATTCCTGTAGGGGCCACTCTTGTAAGTATTTTAGCTTTCAGAAAATATAAATTGGGCCCTAGAGGGACCACAAGTTCCCAAGTGAATATTGTTTTTTTCTCTATTTTAAAATTCCTTAAGATGATATATAATTGAAGAAACATTTTTTTTTTTGAGTTTTTAAATTTTATCTAGTGAGTTGGGAGTTTATTTCAGATATTTTTTCTTTTGTTTATCTAATAAAAACCTGAGAAAGTTTTTTTATACCTTTTTTTAGGCGTTCGTGGATGAGGAACTGCTGTCCACCATTGAAACTTTCCAAAGGGCGCACGAAAATAATGGATTGGACGGCTTTTACGAAGACATGTTTGATATTCTATCGGTCACATCACTTTTGATGGTTTGAGGGCGATGACCACGAAAGACGAGGTCGACCAGCTCTCCTGGCTGTTCCTTTCTCAAGTGAAAAATCAAAGCCGGTCCGGGTTGCTCAAGTTGTTGGGATTCGGTAATCGTTTTTTGAAAGTGTTGAATCTTTTTTTTCCGATTAGCTAAATCAAAAGTTGATAGCAGCTTATCTTTTCATTCAAAGCGGAAAGTTGTTTTTGAAAATTTCGTTACTACGAGGTAAAAAAAAAATTTTAGCCAGGAAAATTCCGAAAACTGAGCCTTTTATCTGTAATCTATCTAACAGTATTTCATTAAAGTTTTTTTCCTTCCGGAAATTTTTCAATTTTACTTTTTTTTCTCAGGAAAAAAGAAAAATTATTTCAGTGTTTTCATAAAAAATCTTAGATAATTAATTTTTTTAACTTGGAATTTCTTTAAATTGAATTTGATATTGATTCTAGGATCATACGAGGCCTTGAAAAATACAGTTTTCCTGGTCACTGTTTCCCTTTTATCATGACTAGAAAATGAGAACTAGAAATTCCTTGAACATATAATAATAATAGAATTTCAATTTTTTTGATAAATTTAGGTGAACCGGATACAACGACCGAAAGTACCTCGGATGCGACGACTTCTAGTACCGAGGTCGATTTTCGACCCTCACAGAAAATAAAATTAATTTTTCAGAGAAGCGAAGTTTCGCCAACTTGTTCTACGTATTCGGATGAAAGGAATTCGCCCTCTCTGGCCCTTACAGTTAATCGCGTCGATTTTTCTACTCTTGGTTCGTTTTTGAATAATTTCTGTCGATTTTCGCAGAAATTAGAAGAGAAATGTATAAAGTACACGGTTTGAAAAAAACAAAAAAATAGAAGACTTATAGTAACGGTTTGGCAAGAAGATAGAAAACCCAAAAACAGTGACATTTTTTATAATGGGTAAAATTTTTTTAGATTCCATTTTTTTCCAGCTTTTTAATCTATAAAAAAATCATTTTAGGGGGTTTATTGATTTTTTTGGAGGATTATAAAATTTATTTTAGACAGGGAAAAATATTTTTTTCATTATATTTTCTTGCTTTTTTTTCGGATAAGACTGCATTTGATTTTTTTAAAAATTCATGTTTTTTTTAAGAGATGATTTTTGGGTTTTTTTAATGGTTTTTTTGTATTGTTTCGATTGTTAAAAATGTAACTTTTAAGAGAAAAAAATCTTTTTCTTTGAACATTCATCGAAGAAATATTTAGAAAAAAATGCATGGAAACTTGATGAGAGCACGTAAAACTTGTCTTATGATTCTGATTGATAGAACGTTAAATAACCACGAATTTTTCAATTATTTTACAAATAAAATTCATAGAAATGTTAGAAAACTTGATGAGTCAGATAATTTGTTTTTAATAATGCCATTACTTTTAAAGGTTTTTTTTTCATTAAATTTGTGTTGGGAAATCATAATTTTATTGCTTTTTAAATTTTATCACCAGGAATTAATTTCTTAGACAACTTACCATTTTTTTTAAAGAAATTATTAAGAAAATTGATAAAATTACCTAAAATCTGATGAGTTTTTTTCTTCAGGATTTTTTTGTGGAAAAAAATCGAAAGTTTTTTTGCTGAAAATTTTTTTGATGTGAATATTTAAAATAAGCCAAAGGACACTTTATCATTGTCTTTTTTTCTCAAGAAGACGACGGCTGGAAGTTGCTGGACTGTTCTGTGAACGGGGACCACAAGAAAGTGATCGAGGAGCTCTGCCGTCGGGGATGCTATTTCGAAGCGGCGTATTATTCGATGCGATACAATTTGCAGCATCAAGTCTTGCAAACTTATCTGGAAAGTGTGTATTATTTTATACCAGAAAAAAATATTCATGACGAAAAATTCCAGAGATGGGCGGAGGTCTGCGCTTTTTTTAACGCTTTTAACGGCAAAAAAATATTTTTTTCACGTTTCGCGTTTCATTTCTTCTTAAAAAAATTTTATATTGATTTTTTAATCTATCAAAGTTCCAATAACATCTTTTTAACCGGGTGATTTTTGAGAAAAAATTGAGTTCTTGGTAGCATTTTCAAAATTCAGTTTTGCCTATCTTTGGAAGATAGAGCTGATTCAAGAGCTAAATGGAAAATGATTTCAAAGAAATTATGAAAAAGGCTATTAGAATAAAACCTGACGACGTTTTTTCCATGAAAAATCTTTAAAAAAAAAGAAAGCATAGAAGTTATCAGGAAAGTAGTGATTAGTTCGACAAAATGGTTTTTTTCTGAAAATTGAGAAAAAAAGATGTTCAGAAGAACATTTTTTTGGAAAGTTGAAGTTTTTTATGTTTCTGAAGATCCAAAAAGGTAGTTTTTTTTTTCTGAAATGTCTCTTTTTAGGAGCTCACCGGTTAAATTTTAGATTTTAAAAAGAAACGTGGTTTCTAATTTGTCAGAAAAGGGGGAGCTCAAGTGGAGAGATTCAAAATACTTCTATCTAAGTTCATGAATTTTTTTTATTAGCTTAGATCCAGAATCTGCCGAAAAACTTTACTTGGTTTTCCCAAAGTCTGGTCAGAAAGTTGTATATTTTTCTCGAGAAATTTTTCATTGACCAAAACTTTTCGTAGGCTCTCAACTACTCAAAATCAGACTTCTGTTCAAAATGTCCGATTTTTCCAGGCGATACGCCTACGGATCCCCTTGGACGTCTCGCTCTCTTCCTGGGAGTCAGTGAGAAAACCAAGCGAACCGAGGGAATCAAGACGAGAGCCATCCAATCGTTCCCCTTGACGCAGTGGAAAAGACTTCTCGCCCTGGTCTTTGCCATGGAATATTCCTCGTTTTCCGTTCAGAACACTATGAAGAAGATTGGCCTACACTGGTTGACCACCGAAAGTTAGTGGAGGAAAAAAAAAAAGGGAAAAATTCGAAGGTTATAATAGTAATTTCGAATTGATAGAAAAACTAACTTGGAAATCGAATATAGTAGTATTTTTTTGAACAATTTGAACAAAAAAAGTTATTTAGAAAAATGAAGTTAAATCGAAAAATAATTGGGCTTATGGTAAGTAGTAGTACTTTTTGCTGTTGAAGAAACTTGAAAAATTTTAAAATTTTAAAATATATAATCAAAATACAAGTCTTCTTTGGGAGAGAAGATAACTCAGAAAAATTAGAAAGTCGAAAAATTAATAAATGAACGAAAAATTGAAATCAAAAAAATACATTTTTTCATGGGGCATGCTGGAAAAAGTCGGTAGTTTCGGCCGCTTTTTTTCTTGTTTCCTAACTTTTTAATTTCACAAATTTTTGAGAATTTTTTTCCGGCTTTATAAATTTTAACGGTTTCAAAGTTTTAATTCTTTATTTTATGACGAGTTTTGAAGTCAGTTTTTGAAAAACTTTGGTCATTAGATTCGAAAAAAATTCCTTTTTCCGAATTTTTTTCCATTTTCACCAAAAATAAATAAACGCGGACATTGGTAACGCGAAACGGACGTGGTCCGGACTTTTCTAGGCGATTCTAGGGATCACTTAAGAGTGCGGAGGCTTCTAAAGTGGTCACTAGAATTGCACACGTCCGATTAGCGTCCCTTTTCACGTTACCAAGGTCGGAGAAGTTCTCAAATCTGGAGAAAAAAACCATTTTGCACACAACATATTTTGATTTCAGGTCCAGTTAAAAAAAGTTGACATGAAATTTATTGAACAAAAAAATACAAGATTTACTTTTTTTGGAACCCAATATTTGGTTTCAAAAAAATGGTATTTTTAAAAAAAGCTACCGAACCGACCGACTTCTCCAGCATGAATTCACATTGAGTTCTTGAAACAAATTTTTTTGAAAAAAAATATTTTTAAAACTATTAGGAAACAGGAAGATCATTGAAAATTTAAAAAAAAAAGGACCGGGATGTGAAAAATGAGGCATTTTCGGAAATTTTTAATGAAATCGAGCATATTTTTCAAACTTAAGTGGTATTAATTTGGCAGAAATTTTAGGAAAATTTTTCGGGTTTTCGAAAAAATTGAAGCAATTTATACTGTTGGGATGAGTGCTCGTTGATAAAAAAGAGAGATATTGTAGATTTTTTTGAGAGAAAAATTCAAAAATTTTTTTCGGTTTTTTCAAATGAAAAGAATGGAATATTCAAAGTATTGACTTAAAACATTGATTTTTCGAAACCTGGGAGAAGTTTTTTTTATCAGCTTAAGGGTCTTTTTTCAGGAAAAGAACTGGCCATGTTGCCTTTTATAATCGCTAGCGATGAAGAAAATCTACTGGACGCCAATCAACATCTCCCACTTGGTTACTTTTTTTCGTATCGTTCTTGTAACTTCAATGATTATTTTCAGAGTCTCGAGTATTCCAAGCACTTGGCTTGAAACTTTCACGAGTTCCGACCGCTTATATTGGCCCGAAATTGGCTGGGGTTTGGAAAAAATCATCAAAAATCGAAATTGTAAGATTTTCCAGGTTCTCCGTGAATATGCGCTTGTGCTGGCCAACAATGGAATCGTCGAAAGTGCGTGGAAATTGGTCGCCGACTTTGGTGATTGCCAAGAACAGGTAGGGAGTCGGTGGATTGCGCGATTGAAAAAAGAAAAATAAAATTTTTCTGTTATCATGGAGGAATTGTCGATTTTTACAGTTTTTCGAATGTTTCCAATGCCAAAATCTAGCCCATTTTTGTTACTTAAAAAGATCTGACCTGTCTACGTTCTCTTCACTCGCACCACCGGGGTCGTAGCGCGAAAACAGGATATCGTCGTAAGAAAAAAAAAAGAGGAGGCAGATATATCAGAATTCATCGAGTTTCGACGTTTTTGTACTTTAAAAATTTCTTTTCTCACTTTCAGTCCGTCAAAATTTTGCTATCACTCTCTTTTTAAGGCCTAACTTTTGATGATAAGACTCAGAGGGAGAACGGCATGCCGCATTTGAAAAAAGAAACGGCAGACCAGCAAATTAGTCTGGTCTCTCCAAGTTTACCGCGCTCCCTAAGCTGATGCATGCGCGCTGGCATGCCGTTTCCTCCCCACGCCTGTTTAAGACGGCCGGTCGGATTACGGTAGTCAAGATAAGTTTTTTCGGTTTCAAAATGAAAGCGTATGTACTTTTTGTGGCGTACCTTATCTTGTAACCACAAGAAGTAAGTCCTTAACAAGTTGCGAAAAAGATAAAACATTAAAAAATCTCCATGGCGCAATATTGACCGGAGGCCGTAGCATTGTCTTAAACACGCCTGTCCCTGAGCAAGGAATTTTTTGGGTCCGCGAATATTCGTAAGAGTAAGTTGTGCATACACCAATCTTGGAACCGCTCCCGAAAAGCCAGCTTTACGGGTTTTGCATATTCATTTTAAACTCAAAATAGGTTAATTTGGAATTACTTACGGCATAATCTCCATTTTTTTTTTTTTGAACAATCAATAATTCAATCATTCATTTTTCTTAATATAAACTTTTTTTTAGGAGTTCCTGGAAACGCGATACGCTCTGTGGCACGCCGCTGGCGGAAGAGAATGCACGGGAACTTACTTACCACCGAACCCGTGGCAGCCAAAAACGGCCAATACCAACACAGAAGCCACCACCAACACTGCCTCAGCCACCAGCACCTCGGCTGTCAGCAGCGAGGTGAGTGGAAAAAAAAAGGGGGGGGGGGGAAGCTCACTGGAACGCGTAGAAATTCAAAAAAGGGCTTTTTCGACTTTACTGGTCTTTCAAGATCAGTTTGAAAATTATCTGAGAACAAAGAAAAACAACGGGTTAGGTCGATATTGTGTAATGAAGAAAATTCAATAGATTAAATGAATAAGCTTTTGACAACTTATTTTTAATAAAAATATCTTTTTGAAGAGTTTCATTTGTTGTGAGCGAGCAAGTCAAGAAAAATGGCGCATTTTTGATTTTTCCCCCTGTTAAGAAAAGTTTTGAAAGCGCCTCGATGAGCGAATAATTTTCCCTGGTGAGACTATCCCCGGCGTTTTTGTTACTGGAAGAAAATGCGAAACCAAAAACACGGTGGGCGGATCCAAAATATCCGCCGTTCTCAGGTGAATTCATCAGAAAGGCAGAGATTTCGGCTTTAAGGGCGTAAATAACAGGGCATATTAAAGGCGCAGGCCGCCGTATTGCCAGAGGTCTTTACGACGAATCGAAATTTTTCTACATAAACGCGATTTTCTGCGCGAAAGCGGTGCAGTGCATGCACACGACACACGACATTTTACGGAGAAAAAGGGGGCGTGGCGTCGTCGGAAAAACGCCGTGTATGATAATTATGGTTTCTTTGAAAGATAGGTAGTTGGAAAAAATACGGGAAAGTAATTCAGTAGCCCACTTTGAAAAGTGGAACCTGATCCGAAGTTATAAAAGTATAAGAGCAATCTGAAAGGAGTTGATTTGTAAAAAGCAGTACTTGAGAGATTTCTTTAAGTTTGACCCGTAGAGAGTCGGTGGAGACGGTAAAATCTATGACAAGGAACTGTACAAACTAAAAATCTGATTCAGAGAGTCTCCCAAAGAACAGCCCCGGTCTACAGTCCTACCACGTCGATCCCTCCGCCCCCACCTGGACCACGACATTCTCTGACGTCACTCCCGACCCCGTCCAACCCTGGATTAGTACCCATGCCACCGTCGTCAATGTTCTACCAGACTCCGTCTTGGGACCATAAACCGGTATAGTCTGTGTGCCACGACTTGAAATTTCACGGAAATTTCACTGCGCGCCTTTGCGAACCCTGGTCGCGCTTTTAATTTTTTTTTTCATTCATTAAGGTACTCTGCTTTCATGTGCTACCACATCAATAACAATCAATTAAAAGCGTGACCTAGATTCCAGAGACGCTTCGCGAACGCACGCAGCGGAACATCGGAATGTCGTTCCGTGAAATTTCAAGTCGTGGCAGACAGAATATAGTGAAGAAGAAAAAATAACCAAAAAAAAATGAATGTTTAGCCTCCTCCCTCGCCGAGGATGCCACCCCAAGCGCCGATCGGACCAGTTACACCTGGATGGAACGATCCGCCGCCCATGATGGCGAAGAAAGTCGCTCCGCCGCCGGCTCCGGTCATGCAGGTGCCTGGCAGGAAAATGATAATATTTTTTTCAACGAAATTTAGTTGTAAGAGAAAAAAGCCTGGAATAAGGATAACTTCTTCTCATTTTTTTTGGTTCTATCCTGATATCAGGGAACTGTTTCCAATGGCCTATCCGTCCTAGAGCGTGACGGATGTGGATTTCCTTTTCCACTACCAACATTTCTTAAACCCCTTGGTCGCATCGGGGATCGAACTTGTGATCCTGTAAACCGAAAACTGGCACTTAACCTGTTGAGCTACGGCGCGCCGAAATAAGGATAGCGATCTGCATGTATCTCCTTTTAAAGTCCACTTTTGAACGACCTCCCCCCTTTTTTGCTCTTTTTCGATAAACTACAACGAATGGATGTACCCATGAGAGAGTTCATTCCAGAGAGATACTCAGAAAGCGGAAGAGGGAGAGCCGCCAGAGAAAAATATTACCCTCGTTTCTCTGGCTTCTCTTCAGTCCGCCACTGTCTCTCGCTTCTCTTCTCTAGTAAAATCTGAACGCAGAAACTTTGAACGTAAAAGTTAGAGCTTTTTTTCTTTTTTGAAGATTCGTCTGCCATATAGAAGCTAGAAGAGTATTTTGCCGCCTTCAGAATGAAAATCTAGACCTAAGTGATTGGGAAATTCTCAAAAATCACTTATAAAGTCTTTACAAGAAAGGGCTTTCGAAATCCCAGGCATGTCTATTTTTCTAGTTTTTTTTAAATTTCTCTTTCTCTTTTTTTTTATCGGCAGGTTAGAGCTAGATCATCCATAATTTCTCGCTAATTTATCAATTATTGCTTTGGTCACTTTTTTTAGGAGAAATTGAAGCGGATTTACCGCCTTCATGTGCGAAAAAAATGGAACTTTTTCATTCCACCTAAAAATCCCAGATCAACTTTAATGATTCATTGAAGATTTATGATAATATGGGCATAAATGAGATTTTTTTTATGAGGAATGCCTATATATTCATTTTCTCTTTCCCTAACGAAATAAAAAAATCACCAATTTAAGAAAAACAACTTTTCAGATGCACTGGACGCCGCTGGAACCCTCGGCGACTGGAGCCTTCTCTCCAGTTATGAACAACCGAGGGCCGCCTTCCCTGCAAGTCCCATCCGTTTATAACAGTCCCTCCACCGGACCTCCTTCCAACAATACCATAACCACGAGCTCTCCTTCGCCCGCCCAAAAAGCGCCTCTCGCCCCTCTTTCTCCCGAGGATCAGTTAACGATGGACCAGTTCTACCAACTCACGTCGGCTCTCTTGGCTGCCAGTCGTGCGCCGGTAATAAAAGTGCTCAAAAGAGATTTATTTGTATGAAAAATTCAAGGCGACGGTCAACAAGGCGCAGGAGATCCAGAAACGACTCCACGAAGAGCTGCATCGGCGATTTTCGGAGCAGAGGGTGAGGGGAAAAAAAAAGTTACTCATGACATCTCCAGAAGTTCAACAGTAATTACAGGGGAATACGGTTCTTTTAAAGATATAATATCGTTCATAAAACGAAAATTTTCAAATTAGTAGAAACTCTTTTGAAATAGTTTCTTAGCATTTTCAAACATCCAGCTCAATTTTAAAGATTTTCACAAGAGTTTACGTCAGTTTAAAGTGTTTGGGAGCTTCTAGGCTGATTTTTAGGCTACAGCTCAAATTGCGAAAAGTTTTGAATTTATTTAATCGGTTTTGTAGATTTTTACAACTTTTGTAACTTGCTTTTGGAAATTTGGAGGACGTGTGCGTGTATTCAGAAAGGATTTTTTTCTTTTATGTTTGAAGAAGTTTGGAAAACTTCGAATTTTTCCAGCTTTCTCTGCCCACACGTTCGGCCTTGTATTATATTGCCGACCACACATCGAAAAAAACAATTTCCAAGCTGCGCAGGCGGATTTGGCAAAGTTGGCTCGAAGTGGTGGAGATTTCGCTGAGGTTCGTACATTCTCAAAAAAAAAGTTCCAGAAAAAAGTTTAGGATAAAAGTTTTCAACCTGAAATAAAATCTTATACTCTGGGTAATAGTTAAAAAATTTTGTAAAGCAAAAATAAGACTATATTTTTTCATCAAAAATATATAGAAAAGTCGGTGGAAGTACTCCAAAACGTGGAAAAAATGCTTTGAGAATAATTTCTTACTTAAAAAAAGTTTTAAAAGTGAGAAAAACGTCAAGATAAATGCTTTCGAAATCGCTAAAATTCTTCGACTTTTTTTGGAAATTTTTTTATATTAAGACATTTCAGTACATAAAAAGCGCCACGGAATCACATTTTTTAAATCATAATTTCCATCAAAAAAAAAAAGCTAAACTTGGAAAACGAGAAGAAATTTTTCAAGGCTGATCGATTCAAAAATTTTTTTATATTTTGAGCTTATTTTTTTCTTTTTTTCACTTTGTTGTTTTCTCCTCCGATAATTGTGTTCGTACACCAACTCTTCCACTTTTTGTAACAATAAAACTCATTTCTTATTTTTTTGTTTTTTTCAGATCTCCTCGTTTCTGCCGGCGCTCAAATCGCTGTTTTTCACTTTATTCGGCAAATTTCCCATCGTAAACTGCCAAGATCTGAAATAATATCTCTTTTTTTTCTATTGTTTTTTTAAATGCGAAGTAATACTCGGTTATTGTTTTTCTTAATTATACGATTTCTATCCTTCTCCCCGTAGTCGACATAATGGTAATTTTGTATTCAAATTATTTAGAGAACCATTTTTTTGCCTTCCTTTTTCTTGTTCTATGGTCTGATACGCGTACGGTTTTTTTAAATCAAATATATCTCGGTTAATAAATTAATTGCTTCTATTCTATCCGTTACGTGTAATATTTGGATGTCCTTGCCTCCAGTTTTGTACTCTACGCGTGTTTTTCTTTTAATTTTATTTGTTTCTATGATTATCAATAAAATTAATCTTTGACCGATTTTGCGTTTTTAAAAAAGGAATAACCATTTTTGCAGTGGAGTGAAGTTTGAAATTATTCCAACAACGGATGTTTAACGGAGAAAAAAAAGCGAAAAAAAAAATTGAAAAGAAAAAAGAAAACCGTGCCTCGGGAAGTGGGCGTGGCCAGGGTTTGCAATTGTGCCGCGCCCACCCGACACCTTTTTCGGCTTTTTCTCTCTCTCGAAGCGGAAAAGAAGCTTTTCCCGCTGATTTTCTGTTTCTTTCCTCGTTAAATCGCCTCAAGACGAATCATTTCGCCGGCTTTTGCACCTACGGGCCGGTTTCTCACCGGCTTTTTAGCGTCGTTAATTATCTATTTTTATTGCGTTGATTTAACGCCTTTTCGATTTTTGTGTATTGATTTGTGTAAAGATTAGTGTTTTTGAACTTGATGTTAAATTAAAAATAATGGTAGAGAAGGCTGTTATTAATGGAAATAAACCCAAACTCTGTGGCTTTAGACCGGAAAGTTTTTTTTATAATTATAAATTTTTTTATAAGTCTTACTTATCCAATTTTAGAGCTTTCTTCCTAAGCCCGTTCAGAAGTTTTAAAAAAATTAAAACCGATTGTGATTGAAAAATGAAAAATACTCTGTCTGTTTTTTTCTGAAAAAAATGCGATGATTTCTAATTTCTGTTTTTCAATGTTCTTTTTTTCTTAAAACTTAGCCTCTGTGTCGAATATTTCTCTTATCTGTTTTTTTATCTTCATTTCTGAGCTTTTTAAAAATAATATTTCTTTATTTCAATTTTGCATTTTTTTGCAAAAAAATAAACTACAATGCTTTCAAAAATTCAATTTTTTTCTTCGTTTGTAAGTCACGACATGATTAACATAGCTCAAATTTTAATGACTTTAGTGAAATTTTTGAGGAATCTGTTTATTGTATACCCATATTCCAATTCGAATTTTTCATTTTCGAAGCGTTTCGGCTGTTTAATTCAGAAGGAACTGTGATTTTTAGCCTTTTTTCACATTTTTATTAAATATAACGATTAATTACTCAGTTTCGCCTTCTATTTTAAAGCAAAATTAATCTTCCCTTTTTCCAATTTTTTTGTTATATCAACTTGATTAATTACTCAGTTTTGCCTTTAATTTCAACCAAGAGCGTGTTGGCCAGAGTTTGTTTTCGGACAGCTGGCCTTGAAACGCCACACGCTCCGCCTTGGCGGTTTTTTTATTTCTTTTTTCCCGGGTGCATGTGAATTTCGCAATTTATCCTATGTGTTCACACGATTTCGAGTTTATGGTGCTATATTTCTTCAAAATATGGTCCAAATTCAATTTTTCCAGAGGTTCTCTTTTATTTCCTGCTATATTTCATTTTTTTCTGACTAAGAGACCTTTCTAGAGTCATTTTCCCATGACTCCACTAATCCATTCAGTCTTTTGGGTTCCGAAAAGCTCAAAGTCACTTTTTTTCTGATTATTTCCTTTTCCGCTGCTGTTTTCATTTCGTTTTCGAATTCTGTACTACCTTGAGTAGAGAGTTAAAAAGCAAAAAAAGCAATTTATCACGACAAATTTTGAAATTTTCAAAAAGTTTCAGAACTTTCGCTTCTCAAGACACTGATTTTGGATCTAGGAATCATCTTTGCCTCTTTTTTTTGTAGGCTGTATTCTTTTTGTTTCTTACAGTTCACTTCAAACTTGAAAATAAATCTTAGATGCTGAAAAAAGAGATTTTTAAAGAAAAAATGATGTTTAGGATCCGAATCTGAACGCATTTGAGAGCATGTTAATCCTATCTGCTAAATAAAGCCAATTAGGAATTTTCGTGACGTTTTACTTGAAAATACTTCCAAGTTCAAAAAATCCGTTATCTCTCTTATCCATATCAATAAATCAATATTATTTTGCGATATCATCTTTTTACGATAAGGTTTGTGATTATAGGAAAAATGGCGAAAAAAAAAATTGAATTGTCAAGCTTATTCCGTGTTTGTAATTAAGTATATCCGCGAAACTCAAAATTTTCTTTTACTCTCCAAAATTTGTTATTTTTTTCACTCTCTGACGTTTATTTTTAATTTAGCGGAGCCACTTTGAACATGATATTGTGGATTTTGTAACTTTAAAGAAGTTGAAACTTCTTGGAGCGAAGATCTGGTCAATATTAAGTCAATTGTCATTTCTATGTCTCTGTGTCATGAATATTAGCCATGGAGCGCAAATGTGCGACTTTTGTGATTTTTTTTGACAGTTGAGCGTTGGAGCACGATTCGATTTTAGCGCTGCAAATTACGGTTTTTCATGTTTTTTTTTCAAACTTCAAGCCTTTTTGTTTATTTTGAAGGTAAAGAGGAGATATTTTTCATTTGATCTCCAAGACCACCTCTTTTTTCACCTGATTTTTCCGTTGTTTGGTTCCAAATTTAGCGCTTTTCGTTTAGTTTTATGAGAAAAAAGGAGTTTTTAAAAAATGCAATATCTGAAATCACCTCCTTTTTATCGTATTCAGAAGTAGTTGGGATGTTAGCCGCCGTTCGTCCAATGAATATTCATGAGAACGGACAGGTTTCAATCACATTTCGGCCTCTGGAGGAGAAGGGCAACCCGGTTCTCAACCCACATACACACGAAATCGAACACTTTTCATCCACTTTGAAAGTTTCTGCTTTAGTGATAACTTCTCGAAAATTAAGGGATATTTTATGAGTGAATAATACGGTTTTTCTGCTATCAAATGTTCTAGGAAAAATGAAAATGTTATATCGAAGGCTAAAAAAAAACAAAAAGTTAAAGGTTGGACTAAAAAAAAGACAAAATTAGGGTTAAATTTAGGTATTTGAGGCTCCAAAAATCTCCAAGATTCTCTCAGGGTTCAATTTTTTCAATAGTTGAATTTTTTATTTTCTATTCTCAACTTTGATCTTTCTAGCTATTTGAAATAAATTTAAATGCTGAATTTTCGATTTTTTCATGCATTCACTACTGGAAATGTCGAAATCGTGTATATTTCGTTATTCCAGTATTTATACGTTTTGGTCGCATTCGGAATGACTGAAGCGTTGCGGTCGCGCTGCACAAGCTTCAGATTGAGTTGAGCTTTTAATAAAGCCCTCGCGAAAGTCGTTTTATGGTCGGATGCATTTTTAAACCAACAACTTTGAGTCCGTTTCGCATTGAGCCATTCCCCGTGCGACCAACGAGTGAATTCCAATTTTTTTTTTCAAATTTGAACCTCCGAAATGATTTCGAGGCCTGAAACTTCATTCTCACCAATGACCCGGCTTCTCACTCCCATGTTGACATTTTTTGTCGCGAATTGTTTGAAAAGTGTCCTTTTTTCCGTTTTTCGGGTATCTTTTGTCGGGCCACCGGCCACGTGAATCTCTCAATTTTTCAGCGTTCCATTGATTTTTTCCCGATTTTTTCCCTTTTTAATGGCCGTGGGACCATAAATTTTTTGGCTTTCCAAGTAGTGTAATTGGGCCCTTTAGTCAACTCAACCAAAAGCTATTCGCTTTCTTTTTTCGTTATTAGTGCCCTATTTGAACTTCATTTTAGGGTTTTTTGTTTGGAAAAAGGAGAATTTTTTTGGAGTCGAATGAAATAAATAAATTCGGGATCAAATTTTGACCTACTTTCTGTACGATTTTGCGTTCTATTTCATTTTTCATTTCATGGTATTTTTTGTCAATTTTTATTTCAGCTTGATTTATGGTTTTTATTGGATTTACGAAGAGACCTACTAGGTTTACAAATAACAATTTGGATTTTCACTTTTTTAAAAATATATTCCTTAAAATATTTTCTATTCAACTTTTGTGGCATTTTCTCTGGAAAGTTGAAGGATTATTGTATTTTTCGAAGTTCCAATGAAAAATTTATTTTTTT